TTGTTTTGAGCAGTCTGTATGTATCTACGTCCATCCTGGAGAGCCTGTGGAGACAAGCGATACCTCTGAGAGCAATCTTGTCTCAGGCAAGCGCAGCATGGAGGCCAGTGGTGACACCCTGGGAAATACAAGAGAAATAAGAGTCCATGCTGGGCAGAAAGTCTCACATGACAGGGTGAGGTCAAGCATCCAAAAGGGGGCAGGAAGGCAAAAGCAGATGGAGATGTGGAAATGATGGGTCCATAGAAGGGCAACAGGGAAGAGCGTGGCAAGAATGAGGGGACGAAGGGAGGAGGTTATGCACCCTTTTCAGCAGCAAGGCCGATGATCAAAAGCCATGTCCTTTGCAGAGCTACGGTGGTGGCCAGGAGCCCAGCAGCGAGGCAGCTCTGCCTGTGAACAAAGACATGTAGCTGAGACCCACAGGTAAACAGCAGTGACCGACGTCCGCGTGGCCCTCTTGGGTTCCACCTCCCCAGGTACCCCCAGATGGGTCAACTGAAGAAGACAGCAAGAGGAGGAAGATCCCCATGACCCATGACTGACGTGGAGAGCCTCGATGTGGAGAAGCAGAGGATGTTTTTGTGGATGTTGTGTGAAAATATCCACAGACACACCCAATTTACGGGCAATTGGGCAAGATTTACCATAAAACTTAAAAATAAAAAAAAAAGGGAGGCAGGAATTTTCTGCTGCATTTCCCAGCTTTAAATGAGGGAGGAAAGTCATTTCCCCTCTTCCTCCCCAATCCAAAAATGTTGAAAAAGAACAATAAGAAGAAAAGTTTCTCTTTTCTTCATTTTTTTGATCAAAAATATCCCTGAGGAAATTCAAAACAAAACAAAAAAAGGCTATTCTTGACCAGAGCTAGGTACCAACAGAAAGCATGTCGGATCCGGCCGAACGCACAGCCTGCTGCGGCCCCGCGAGCTCCTGGCGCGCTCTCAAAGCCCTCGGAACGGTGACCCCCGGCGGCCGGGCCCCCGGGAGCCGCTGAAGGTCCTCAGCTGCAGCCCCACAGAACTGCCCTTGGCCGCCTCCTTGCCAAGCGAATTCCTTTCCCCTGRTGCACCTCAGCCCCAGGGCTGTCCAGGGCCTTCGGGTCGTGCATTTTTTCCCCTGCCTAACCTTTCCCTGCCTGGAAAATGTCTCGGGCCCTCCGCAAATGAATAACTTTTAAAAGTGAAAAAATAAAAAATCAAATAGAGAGCGTGGATGATGTTTGTTTTAACCTTGCTGCCGCACAACCAAGGGGAAAGCATTTCAGGTATGCATTTAGTTTGCATGCATGTGCCAGCGCGGAGGGCAGAGGGGAGTTTGGCACTTTCGGCTTGCAGCCGCCAGCCCCGGGGCCGTTTATCACCTTTTGTCAGTGCCCGGGTGGCAGGGCACCCTGGGGACCGCATCACCTCTCCCGGCCGCGCTTTCCTTCAGCCCGGTCTGTCCTCCTTGCAGCGTCGCGTCCCAGGCGAAGTAGATGTGTCATTTTCCTTTCACAGGACGCCGCACAGCCTTATCCAAATATAAACAGCCTGAGAGTATTTAGCAGGTTATTGTCTGGTTAAAAAAAGTAAAACAAACAGACCTGAAACCCTTTTTCCCCTGCCGTTTCTGGTGCAGCTGGAGGGGTGGGCTCGGGCTCGCCAGGGTCCCCGCGAGCGTCACACATCGGCTCCCGGCCCTCAGGCAGAAAAGCAGCCAATTCCCCGGGGCAAAGCCACAAGCACCTGCCTTTCCCTCCCAAGCTCCGAGGCAAGGTGCAAGGTAGTGCCTTCACACAGTGAGGCAGCAGGTATCCACAGGAACTTCTTGGAGTGGGATCTTGCCAGGGGAAGGGCAGCTGAGCGCTGTGCCCAAGGCACACGTGCTGCTGAGGAACATGGTAGCCTGGGCAGGAGGGCAACTTGCTTCATGTTACACACAAATGAGGAAGAAAACCTGAAGATGTGGTTTTCCCCAGCTAACACGCGAAGTGCCTGGCTTCTGATTTCCCGCAGGCCCACACACTGCTGGGACTAGCAGTGCTGGTAGACGTGGTAGAAGTCATGCCGGGTAAAGCAACGCCAGGAGCAAAGCCAAAAGCCGTGATCCCCCCACGAGGTTCTTCATCCAAGGTGGGAAGGTCTCCGATGTGGCAGGAGACAAAGCAAGAGGGGAATTTGTTTAGATAAATGCTTGGCATTAAAAAAACCTGCCCTGTTCAGGCCACAGAGTGAAGCTGGGTGAGAAACCAACACTTTCCTCCTACAAATGGGCTGGGAAAATACCCAGCAATACCAGCCTGTCTGGTGGCTGCCTTTGCCAGCTTACAGTGCAATCAGGCAAAACCCTCTCCATCCAGCACTGCTAATTAGATGTGTCTGTTGTTAATTGCCCAGCGTCTGCGGCACTTTGCAGAGCCCCGATGCAACAGCCTCGGACACATACCCTGGCACCCTGGCAGGAAGCCGGGCGGCCCACACGGCGAAGACCAAGCGCCATGGATGTTTACGGCCCTGCATTAAAAAAAAATAAATGCATGTTTCCCCCAATGACTCCACTCCGGGGAGTATTAAAAGCAGTACCTTAACTTGGCTGGCCACATAAACATCCTGCTGCCCCAGCGCAGCCTGATACTGTCTTCCTCCCAGGATGAGGAGCTGAATAATAAGTGACAATCACGGCTCCTGCCGGGAGGAAAACAGGAAGCGCCGGAGCCCTGCAACCACCRGAGCAGCGCCCTACCTGCTCCGCACCCCCGAGCGACGTGGGCTTTCTAGCCAAGACAGAAGTGGGCAAAGTTTCTTGTGTTATTTCCAGTCCAGCAACACTGGTGGGTGAGCAGCACCCCCAGACGGGGATGCTGAGGACCAYGGCAAGCATCCCGTACGCCGCCCAGCCACCCATGGCCAGCAGGAGCGAGTCATGAGAAAGTCCCAAATCCTCCTCCCTTTCCCTTTCCAATGCCCAAAGTAGCCCAAAGCAGTCATTGTTGGCCAAAGCTCTTAAAGGACCACCATATCTGCAGAAAGGCCCCGGTTCACGCAACCCTGCAGTGCTAAATCTCTGTTGGGCCCCTGAATCGCACAAACTCCTGTTGTGAAGCTCCTGACGGTCTCCAGTGTGGAGGAGGGAACCTCGACCCTAGCTGTCTGCTGCAATGACACCACCGAGCCTGGAGCAAGAAGCATCAAAGCAAGCCGCATGGCCAGACTCCTCAGGCTGCCTCCAGAGCTGCAGGTGAGCACAGAGAAACCAGCTCCACCAGTTAGCAGCTAACGCCAAGAAACTCCCTTTATCTCATCTGGCACCATATGTGATTTATACCCACGCTCCCCTAAACTTTTTTCTTTTTTCTGCTGTGTTTTGAGGAACCCACCTCCACATGGCACAGTTTGCTGCCGACCCACCAGCAGCCCCCTCGCTCTGGCTTCTGGCCCAGCCGCGCGAGGTGTAGGAGATGCTTCGCACTTCAAGGGAGGCCCCAGGAGCAGGAGAACGTGCTAAGCCTTGGCTGCTCCCATGCTGCTGCTCAGCCTCCACGCTGTTTACTACTTCAAAGCAGCCAACATTTCCACTTTGTATCTGGGTTCCCACACTGCAGCCTCCCAAACAAGAACGGTAGAAACAAGAGCCTTCCCATCTGCTCTTCCTCCGTGGAGAATGTAAAAATATCCATCGCTGAATTAGGCGCTATTTGCCATCACTTGACAAAGTTCACATTCCCACAAGGAGCCGACATGCTTGGCCTTCCTCCGCGCACACGTGCCTTCGGCAGTGGCCAGCGCACGYGGGAACAATGCCTGGGGCTCGGCATGCCACTTTCTCCAGGTCATGGTCACACAAAACAATACTTTGCAAAATTTTGAAGTGTGGGAGGAACTCTAGAAACCTCAAGGCGAGGATGTTTATCAACACGTAAGAATATCTCTAAAAGGTTTGTGTCCTATGAGGAAAAAGCTGAGTTTGAGGGAATGTAGCTTAAGCCATCACTGGGGATAAATCTRGAAATCTCCTTGCAGGTGATCGTATCGCTAATTTAAAGGAAAAGAGAAGAGTTTTTGCAAGGTCATGGCATGAAGAATGTTTGTACGGACAACCCTCAGTGAAGCTTCTAATGAAATTTCAGCTCCAAGGGTAGCCCATAGTGCTACCCTTCTACTACTACATTAAAAAGCAGGCTGGAAGCGCACTTAGATGTCCAGTTCATCCTCATTGCTACTCCTGCAGACAGGAGGTTGCAGTCAGAGGCTTGTTGGTCACTCCTGAGCAGTCCATGAAGGATAAAAATTTCACTTGTCTACAAGGCACTTAGGAAAGCTTCTCGGGAAAGGAGGGCAAAAGCCATCCTGATAAAGTCTCACACTTGGCTGCAACACATTCAGAAAGATAGGACTTTTTTATTTTGCAGACAGATAACATCTCCTTTTGCCCTACAACTGCATCCTTGACAAGCCTGCTTAAAAACAAACCATGGAGGGTTGTTTCAGTGCGAAGCGGCAAGCACTGCTGCTTTGCTGCTCCKCACACCAGCTACCTGCGCTTAGTCTATTCTGAGCTAAGCCCTGCAGGGCCATCACACCACAAAACGCCACAGAACAAGGCACAGTTATTCAGCAGCCYGTCTCGGGTCGCATCATCCCCGCGAGGCCTGAAGGAGAGACACGTATGGTGGTGGCAGCGGGGCCAAGCAAGGCCGTGCAGCGCGCAGCCAGGCCATGCAGCGCGCTGAGGCGACGCAGCGGCCGTTCCTCGAGGGCTGAGCACCCTCTGCTGGGAAAGGCCCGGCTTCACGGCACGCTGCAGCACCCAGGCCGGCCAGGAGACCTCCCTGCGGCGGGTCCGGGACATTCAGGGCCTCCCATGCCGGCAGAGCACCAGTGACGGCACTCACTGGAAAGGGGAGGCCAATGGCCCCTGAGGYGCTGCCCCAGCAGTACTTTAACCCTGGTCCTGGGCGTGCGCCTGCCTCAGCAAACACGGGAGGTCCCCAAACGCTGTCCCCAGCTGCCCATGCAGACATGCGCTTCCTTCCCCGCCTGCTCCTGGCCGCTGCCCTGGCCACTGCCACCCTGCTGGGCTGCTGGTGGCTCCTCGGGGGCCGCACAGGTAACACGGGGCGTCCAGTGCCGGGAGGCGGCACCGCGGCCAGAGCAGCGCCGAGCAAAACGCTGTGGGGTGCCAGGGATCGGGGCTGGGGAGGAGGCGCAGGCCGGGCAGGTGACACGGGCACCGAGTGCGGCTCTGAGCCCAAAACCACAACCTGCTCGGTCCTGTCAGCCCAGGGCCAAGCTGGCAGGGGAACTTCAGCTAATATCATCAGTGAGAGCTTGGGCGGCCAGAGAAGCAGCTTCGAATAGCGCCACGCACCACGTTCCCTGGTTTGGGTTGCGGGTTTGTTTTCCTAATTATAAAGGTTGTGGAGTCTCCTTCTCTGGAGGTCTTCAAAACCCTCCTGGATGCCGCCCTGTGCCCTGTGCTCTGGGTGTGCCTGCTTGAGCAGGAACGTTGGACTAGATGATCTCTAGAGGTCCCTGCCAACCTTGAATATTCTGTAAATTCTTTTCTCCTGCATGGGGAAGGCTGCCCAGGCCAGTGACGAGCACCTAATTTCCCCAGTGTCTGCAGACCCGCAAAGCCAGCTCTGCCCCTCAAACGCCTGCATTACACACATGCATCAGACACAGGAATGAGATAAAAAAATACAGCGAAGAAAACATTCATCTCCTCCATTCACAGGAACTTTAAACTTACTATGGCCTTGCCCCATCAAAGATAAGATTAAAAAGCAAGGCACAAAGCTGAAATCTGGCAAATTAAAAGCAACTACCATGGATTCTTTTCGTTTGCTTTAGCCTTTTTATATTTGCTTTTTCCTTTTTATTTGCTTTTTATCTTCGTAAGTGTTTCTGGGCGGTCCTCAGCCCCCATGTTTCAATGGTGTTTTCCAGGTGAGTTGGCTTCCAGGGCCAAGGAGGCCCTCCCTCTGACGCTGGACACCTTCCTTCACACCCAGCAGCTGCGGAAGAAGAGGCTGAGATCCTTCTGCAGCCGCTCCACCGAAGGGGCCACACTGCCAGAGAGCCCCAAGGCACGAGGCCGCCTACTCTCCAACATGAGGGTCAGCACCAAGCTGGACTTCCTCTATTGCCAGGTGCCAGCAACAGGCATGGAGGGATGGCAGCAGCTTTTGGAGAAACTAGAGGAGAAGGAAAACGTGACGGTCCCCATGCCGCTGCCCTACCCTCGGCAGAATGCTCCACAGACACAGCTGAGCAAGTTCAACCAGACCATGATAAAGGCCATGATAGGCTCCTACATCAAAGTCCTCTTTGTGAGGGACCCTTTTCAGAGGCTGATCTCAGCTTACATGCAAAGTGTGGGCAGCCATCACCATTCCTTTAGCACTTTTGTTCAGGATGTTTTAGACAGGGGACAGCACAATGTCAGGCTGGAAGCAAAGCCACTTGTCAGCCTTTGCCATCCTTGTCTCATCCAGTACGATTACGTGATGATGTTTGGCTTCCTCAGGCAGGAACTGGGGCACCTGATACACCGGGCCGGGCTGCCAAAGGGCATCCACCTTCCTGAATTCATGGACTCCGAGGTGCAGTGGACCTATGCATGGTTATCGGAGCAGCTATTCAGTGAACTGTCCCTCAAGCAGAAGAAACAACTGTCTCATTTCTATCGCGAGGACCTTTCTGCTTTCCAGTTTTCTAACAGCTTGCTCTCAGACTTCCTCAGCACACCAGAGACCCAATAAAAATACTCTGGCTAGCAAGACTGTTGCAGAGAGGATCAAGTCAAATGCAAATGCATTCAGAAAATCAACAGGCTCACTGGACTGAGTACTGGGAAAGTCCCTGTCACAAGGAACTGAGATAGAGCTCTCTACATTGCTGATTTGGGTTTAATTACTGCAGAAACAGGTGCTAGAGAAATACTTGGCATGGGGGTGGCTCTCTGAGAGACTCATGTGCCACTTTGCCTGTTCTCATCTGTTTGAGAAACTGCTCTCCCCCTCTTCCAGCTTCGGCCACAGAGGAGACCTGGGTGCACAGGGAAGGGTCTGTGGAAGGGCCAAGGATGAGCTGAAGTTCCACAGCATTTAAATTGTAAGAGATTTTTCACAGTAGCACACCAGTTATGAGAATATTATTTAGCTTTATTTTGCAGTGATGTGACATTCACAGAGAATTGTATACACATTTGTCTGACAAAGACAGTAATTTGACATCAATGCTCATTAAAGAATGATCGTGAAAACTGTCAATTAGAACTGCCCCCAAAATTACTAAAACTTGGCCTCCCTCTTTCACAGAGAAGCCTGCAATTAATAGTGTTAAGACATTAGAGCAGATGATGCTCCTTTCACCTTCCCATTAACTATCAAACTACAGCAATTATTGCTTAAGTGCCATTATTGTGCATAATACTTCGTAGTCTAGTAAGACCATCATGCAGCATAGTTCCCCTTCTGAAGACACAGCTTTGGAAGGAGAGAAGAGGGGCAAATTTCCACATTATATTTAAGTCATGCATTCATACTTCACTGAAAAGGACTAGGAAAAGTACAGTTTATCTTCATATGCAGCTTCCCCTTCAGCAAAGGCAAGCTGAAATCTGGTGCACCTGACAACATGCAGCAGAAGGCAACACTGTACAGCAGAGTTGTTCTCCACCTCTTTCTCCCAGTCCTTTACAACAGGTCCCTTCTCTAGAGTAYCTAGCATTTATTTTCATTGGAAAGCAGTGTATGAAATGTTAAGACAGTGTTAGAGAGGTAAAATAAAAGCTCTACTTCATGTTCTTTAGGTCATTGTACCACCTACACGTAGCTGGGCATTACATTGCATCTCTCCATAGACTGCTGTAAGTCCCCAAATTTCCCTTTTCCTACACTCCAAAAAGCAGTTTCTCCAACTTTGCAACCTTGAATTTGTACCTTCCTGCACCTCCCCTCATGTGTTTGCTTTCATCTGATTCAAATCCAATACCCCCTAGAAGGATAGGCTGCAAAGTGAATAACAAGAAAGCACCTTCATGAACCTAGTTCAAAAAAAATTCAACTGCCAGGCTGTAGCCATGGCTGTGAGAGACACCAAACCCATGTAGAAACAAGAGAAGAAGGTGCTTTCCAGAACCACGGTGGCATTTCCATARGAGGATGCTGGAACCTCACCGATACCACTCACATTAGCACAAATTACGTTTCTTTTGTATTTCCTTTCTGCCTGGTCTCCATGAGAGTGTCCAGAGATCATGTGAGGTGTGGTGCCGCAGAGACGATGCAGTTACCACCTGTGTTACAGGCCTCAGATTTCTCATTCCTTCTTGGGCAAAGAACATGAATACACAGAGACAGCTTGCTAGCACACAAATGTTTACATTTTCATCTCTGACAGGCCCTTCATATATTGCCAGCTTTCAGGAGGAGAAAAAAAATTTCTTGCCTAGTGCCTCAGAGTTTAAGAAATACCAGTATCACMTATCAATTAATAAAACAATTACATAGCAAGCACAGCAGACACAAAGTACTTCTGCAACTCATATATATACATGCCCTTTTCCAGATGGTAAAACTATAATATTCTAAACTGAGACATAAATCTGCACTTTCACAATTTTATGCCTTGGAGTGCTTCAAAAATGTTTCAGTCTGTGCATGCATTGGCAAGTCCTAAGATGGAGAGGAATTCTGAGCAAGATCTAAGTGAATAAAATTTTATTTAAGGCAATGGAGTTGCATCCTTTTGCACCATAATGTTGACGGCCCTAGGAGTGCAAAAATAGAAAAAGGATATTTTGATATAGCTGTAGGCCAGAAAAATAGATGAAAGTTTGCACATGAGGAGCAGGTACAGTACATGGCTGACAACAAAGCTAGAGATACATGATGCTGCAGTGTTAAAACTGACAGTGACCAGAACTGTGAAGGAGGATACCCAACATTAAATCCAACATGAAAAATGCATTCAGTCCAAAAGGTATGAGGTCATCATATAATAAACACATTTTTCAGACAACTAGTCCCTTTAGCAAAATGTATCTGTTCTTTATATTCAGCAAAACTAAGAGCTGTCTTGAAAGCCAAGCCCTCACAGCAGGAAAGGGACTGACCCTAGAGGGCACTCGGACCCAGCTAATTCCCACCTGCCCCAGGCCAGACTAAATTGCCTTGGGGACAKTGATCTGTAACTCTCTCTGTTACTCCAAAGACCTTTTTTTGGTATCCTGTCCTGAGATAAGCAAAAGATGTGGTGGGAGAAAAGGGAAAATTGAATGTGTCAAACCAATCAGCTGGATTTCTTAATGGAAACAGCAAGGTAGCATGTGAGCTAAAAAAAATCATTGAAGACCTGGTATAGATGAAATAATCCTCATTTAACTTAAAATAAATCAGTGATTGGTCTTATTTTAAGGTTTCCATCTCAACAACTGCTCTTACAGACATAAGACTTTCACCCATAGTTAGCAACTGCAAAACTCCTCCTCATCTTCATCTAGTATTTATCTGGCTTTACACACAGAAGGACAGTCCAGTCCTCAGTATGTCTCATGCTCCCCTGTCTCCTCTAGAGGAGTATTAGGACTGTTTATCTGAGTTCAATGCATTTAAATCCTTCTTGGCATAACATCAGAAGGTGACAATTCTTTTCCCCATAGTAAACCAAACCAAAACATTTTTTTCAGACTGGTTGATAATAAACTTGCCTCTTATCCTTGCAGCAATTTTAAATGAAATCTTAGATTTTCATTTAAATTACAATCTTAGAATTAAATCTTACATTTCATGTAAGATTTTCAAATAACCTGGATAACATCATCATTTGCTTACTCTTCATTTATATTTACTTCAGAGCTATGATCAGACAGCAATTCCCCCTCTTAGGGGAAACAAAGATTGGACAATTAAATGAGAAAGCTCTATCAATCAGTGGATGAGCCACATGAACAGTTTTTTTTTTTTTTTTTTTTTTTTTTTGCCATTGTAGTCCTACTGCCTTGTGGTCCCTCTGGTGCAAGCCCAGGTTCCTGAGGAAAGTTTGCTTCTCAGACTTCGCTTTTAAACACGCACAGACCATGGCTTAAAGGTTCCTGGCTCGGCAGATGGACACTGTAAAGAAGAAGAGAAAAAAATACAGTGAGCCCCAGCAGCAACACCTGGAGGTCCTAGTTCAGCAGAAGTGAGCACTGTCCATAGCACTTTCATCTCTCCCTTCGTGATAAGATCAATAAGTCACAAGGTAGACCTGCAAGATGCATTATGAGCTGTGATCCCCTAAGAGATGACAATCAGAAGCATCAGAGCAACRAGTCAGTGCTTCTACTCTATATATAGGACTAGGAGGATGAAGAGATGAAGTGTGACTTCAGTGATTCTGTGTGGCAGCCCTTCTGGTAATGGGAACTCTAATACTGGTCTGTGGACTTGTTTCTCATCCTGTGGCATGTTAAGTAAATGACAATACACATGAAGGGCTTCCTCAGATTTGAACCACAGTGACCATCACAACACACAGCGTGGGGTRGGCTGGCCAGAGAACAGGCTATGAAACTGGCAGCAACTACCATTTTGGTGAACATGTCCACACAAGCATTGCGGATCCTCTCCGGGGTGGCAGGGCTGTCCAGCCTGAACGGTTCAGTCACGCCAGAGTCCTTTCTTGCTGAGTAGATGGCATCCTTAATGGCATAAAACACTGAGGCAGACAGGAACAGAGGAGGCTCTCCTACAGCCTAGACAAAACACAGGCAAGTGGGAGGTTACAGATCAAAACAGTCCTGGGCAAGGAAAGACTAGTGGAGCTAACAGAAAAAGAGCAAGTGACCATTGATCATTATTCTCATTCCTTACTTGTGACCTCTCAGCCTTCCAGATGTTATTATGAAGGAAAGACTAAGCTAAAAAAGCCTCCATCCACTTAAAGGAAAGACAGTAGGAAAACATAGTTTTCTAACACAGTAGGGCTATTACAAAGGGGGAAAAAAGGGACTAACCCTTTCCCACAGCCCTTTAGATCTTTCCTTAATTAACTTCATTCTTTACTTAATTCCGCAATCAGCATTTATCAAGCAAATAGTTCTCCACATTGGTGAAGATGTTTCTGTGGAGGAAAGGAAAAGGGAACAGATGCAGAAGCAAGCCAGGCATATAGAGATGTGGGAATGCTTCTTTGAAGCATGAATAAAGCAAGCTCCTCAAAGCTATATATTCCACTCCATTCTGCACAGCCCTGCCTAGCTGCAGGGAATAGTCTTGACTGCAGGGAAAACAGCTGAAGGACACATGGATTACTTATGGATCCTGCAAGGGTGAAGTGAGCACTGGGAAACAGCTAGGAAAGCAACACAAGCAAACTCCGGGACAACACTGCTGGAAACATTGAGCCACGTGGTGGCCCTGACAGCAGGGATGGGCAAGCTGAGTTTTGGGGGCAGACAGCAAGGAAACAGATGCAGAGGAAGGTTGGCTTTGTCGGGTAGAGACTCTGCCACAGCAAAGCCATTTCAGTTCTCTCTTATGGAGAATCAAGGTAGCGGTGTGTAGGCTACTCCGGTACCTCCTTACTATACGGGACAGTAATCATGTTTCTGGAAAGGAATGCAAAAGCATCCTGCCCCCAAAATAAAGCCAAGAGAAACACGTAGCAGCAAGAGGCCTGTAGATCTTGCATATATACCTTGGATGAGTAAATTGCCTTGCTATTYGGACAGTCACGGAGAAGAGACACATAGAACTCCGTTGGAATGTCTCCAAACGCTGGGATTTTGTACATCCCAGGCCCACGAGTATACAAGTTCCCTTCTGGAGAATAGCGCAACTCCTCTATGGTGAAGAGCCCGAGGCCTTGGACAAACGCTCCTTCTACCTGCAGACACAACAAAATAAGGTTACTTTTTTGCTGTTGTTCATTCCTGCTCAAAAACAAACAGCAATGATTTAAAGTGGAGCTTTCACCTCTTCCATCCTCCCATCCTGGCTAAATTCCCACCATTCTCTTCTAACCTTGTCCTTTCTGCTGAGTACAGCCTGCCACCTTTACGCAATTCTTGCGTTCCCACATAGATGTGGTTGCATTTCCCTGGTAGATGGAGCAATTCACACACACATACAAACAGATATGCTGTAAATGCAAGGCAGGAATTTGTTGATGAAGCAAGAAAAAAAAAATCAATGCCAAAATATTGATTTCTCTGTGGGCAAAATAACACTGAATGAGCTGTACTTGCTGATAACTCAAAGGACGAGAAGATAGAACTGAAGACGACACATCTGAACAAACAAATTATTTTACCTTTYTCTATTTTGATATAAAACCACATCATACTGTCCTGAACACCAGGTATTCTCAGGTCACCAGCACAGAAWACTGCAGAAACACTCCCATATCTATTCAAATACCAAAGGCTTTCTGGTGTAGCTTATTCTACTAAAAGTTTTAGGAGAAAAAAAGGAGGAGGAGGCACAGAGAATGGATGTCAGAAGGAGATGGGGAAGGATGCGCTCAAACTATCCTGCAAGGAGCTCTGCTCTCTGTGCTCRCAGAGAGATCCTACAGACCCGAGTAGCCTGAAGATTTAATACAAACATTCACACATGCTCATTTATCCCAGCAATATGTACTTGGTGCCCAGTAGTCATATAGCATTCTTTCCTTCTTTTGCCCTTAGATCCTCTGTAGCAAGGACGGACACAGGTAAACAAGATCTGTTGTTTGGGCTCCATTTGGCTCATATGTTTTCTGCAGCCAAAGTCTGACACATTATGAAGGCAAAAAGACCCTCTCTATGCTGGAATGGTTCTAAAATTTATTTTTGGGGGAAAAAAAGAAATTGCTTTCAGAGAACTTTCATTTTAGCCATACCAGGGCTCTGCACTTCATGCCCTCCTAATAAAGCCCAAATACCTACACAAGTGACAGTGGAGTTAAACTAAGTCAACATCCAGAGTTAACAGGGAAATTGCAGTGTATTGGGCAGCTGAGCATGTGCAAATGCCTAATGATCCAGCTCCCAGTATATCAGACAACCCTGTGTCTATTACCTTGATTTGCTGAGAGGTGTCACTGTGATTACAGAGAGAATACAGAAGAAAGCAGGGAATTTGCAAGGGACTGGGAATTTGCAAGTGACTCTCTAATTCTTTAGTCACRGAAGACTTCTCACCAAATTATACCTGACTTTGATATGGATGTATAACAGTATAAAATTCAGGTGTGATTTCAGTCTCTCCACACCACTTTGTAGAAGCAGGCCACCAGGCCCTGAGGTGAGTTTATTTCATTATATTAGTATTCTCCAGCCGCATTTCTTAGTGAAGGTAGATATTAAAAGAATCATTGAGGTATTAACTGAAGAATACCTTGGAGTCTTCCTCAGTGCTCAAGCCAAAAAAAGAAAAAAAGAAAAAAATAAGGTAGCACACTTCCTCATTTCCTCATCTAATTATGCACCTATTGTATGATTATCTTGGGGTCAAGCTGGTTTTACTAGCAAGCCTAAAATGCCTTACCAGATGATCCGTTTAACTGCAAAATGCTGTTTGCAAAGACACATGTTGGAGATGGAGAATTTTTCATCTAGAAAACCTTAAATTAGTAAAATCACTTTAACATGGTAAAATTAGTGACTTTTCCTTACCTGTCCTATATCTATGGCTGGGTTCAAACTGGTACCGACATCCATAACAATGTCTGTGCGAATGTTCTAAAAGGCAAAAGAAGAGAATAAATCAGCACAGAGCATTGAGACTGGGACATGATAATCTTATACCGGGAAGAGTAATGTATTCACCAATACCCACATTTGGCCTTTATTCCTGCAATTTATCTCAACTCAATTCTATCTCCTGACTTCTAAACTGAGTTTCATCCATAAAGTGAAAAAAAAGAAGTCAGTTCTGTTTTCCCMAGAGACCCATTGGACCTGTTTTGTATTACTTCTAAACCATCCCTGTCAGTGCTCTGTATCACACACATCCAACTAGGTCAGATTCTAATTAATTGTCTCTTTTTCTTCTCTAAGAGTCTCCCAGTGCTATTTTTAATGATTAACTCAATTCCAAAATGTTGTTCTTTTGTGCTAACACAGTGCTGTTATCTTTTACTTAAGCAAATCCAATAACTTTTGCAAGCATTCATTAAGCCTCATAATATCCCTGCWGGGCAGATAATTATCATTTTATTATCCTTTACAGATTGTTGCAGTGCTGAGCAGAGGAGTTAAGAAATTCACCGAAGGTCACAGGGAACCAATGATGGAGTGAGGAACACACTGACGCCCCGTATTTGTTCTAACTCCCTGTGAATGTTTCCTTCACCTCAACACACAAGGCTGTTTCACTGCTGGCCCCCTCACCTTGTGGTCGCCGGTCAGACAATCTATCTCAACCTCGGAACAAGCAACACCATAACTGAAGTAGTGGAATGGTCTCCCTTCGTTGGTCTCAAAGCTGTAGCCAAGATCTGGAATTCTTTATAGAAAGAGAGGGGGGAAAAAAAATAATGTCATGAATGGTCAGAGTGAATGTAATCACATTGCCACATGGCAAAATCCTTATTTACTCTTGTTTTAGCCCTCTCCCCAGGCTTGTGCAGAAATGAAAGTTATAAGTAGCTATAAACAGGAGTCTATTAAAGCTTCTCTATACTCCAATGACCCTCCTGAAATGAACTATTTTAGTCATCTTTACTTTCCCATGATTCTTAAGCTATGTGACAATCGTTATGGACTCATTCCCAGGAATGCAATAGCAAATTCTCCGTTTTTAGAGTGCAGGTGAACATGTCCTAAAGGTCATTAAACTTTGGAGAATAATCAAGTTGAACTAAGTTGAAGACTGTTTTTAMGCACAGCTGATGGTCAACTTTGTGTCTGGTTACTTATATTTTATTTGAAAACCATTTTATTAAAATACTGATAGTGACTYGGTTAAAAAAGTAACGCAGATACACAACAGAAAACAGAGATGCATTTTAGTCCTACAGAGTCTCTCCTCAAAACTGTGTTTATTTTTTATGTTGGCCCCTCTGCCTCAGAGACGAGGGATCTCTGCTCACCCCCAGGAGTAAAGCTAAGGAGAGAAGTGTCTCGTTTCAGAAATGCACAGGAGCCAGCAAGAGTTTAAAGTGGGAGAATGAAATTGGAAGCACTAGGATCTGCTCATGCCGCATCAGAAGTGGCCTGAGTCAATCGCTGTAGGTAGCACTCTCCTCAAGGACATCTCCCGCTCCCTTTTTCCTAGAGCCCCTTGGAGGCATTAAGACCATCCCAGTCAGGAGTCTGACAAAGGACAGGCCCCAGACAAAGCTCCAATCTCACTTATGCCTAGCCAAACCTAGGCTGGCTTCAGTGAAGATAGATATACTTCTGATTTACACAAGATCTGAATCTGACCCAAGAGAGATGCTCCATCAGGATCCGCCCTCCCCTGCCAGGCGTCTGTCCAGCGTTAACCYGAGTTTAACATTTCTGGGTGGGAAAGGGCTGCAGGGCTTAGTTCAGAGCAGTGACGGAGGTGGGGGCCATAAATCCTCCCAGAGACTCCCTGGCTCCATAGCATGCATTTGAGCAAGAACCATGCCTCCGCAGCACGGACTCACCTATAAAATCCCGTGGCTGACAGGCTCACACAGTCCATGTAGGCTGCTTTAATCTGGCAAAGAAAGCAGAGTTTTAAAACACCTATTGTCCAATCAGCCCCTGCAAAATAGCTGCCTCAGACATTTGCAGGAGAGCCCATACAGAAGGTGCCCAGTGACAGACAGCTGGCACAGCACCCAGAGCCAGCAGCACCAAGGAAAACATCATCGTGCAGCTGCTTCCTCCAATAACCTCCACATCAGCTACTAAGGGCAGGGCTCACCCATGAGAGGGAGAGAGAGAGAGGAGACTTGCATCTTGTCTCTTCTGGGTTTTGGGGATCTTCTCATCTCAGGGGCACAGGTTAAAATGCCCATCACCTTGACTTCAGCATGGCCAGGGGAAAATCCTGCTCTGACTTTCGGATCACAAAGGCAAAAGCTCCTCCCAGGAAGAGAAGAGCGTGGACTGAAAGCTGTCCAGGAGGCTGACAGTGCACCAGGCTCTTAATATTCAGAGTGGAAAGATGCTGAGATGCTGCTACCATGAAGCACCATGGGACGCAGTGGATGGAAGCTCAGCAAAGAATCATCTTTGTCACAGATTTCCTTCATTACAAATGAGGTTTCTTCCAGTTCAGGGCTATAGTCAGACTACAGGGATTTTTTGTAGCCATTCAAGCTTTCTATTTGGTCTAATTTGCCTAGAGCCTGGAGGAATCTCAGTATTAAATTCATAACTCATATTTTGGGGATCAGCCCTTTCAAGCTTTGGTTTCTTCCCTTGCCAGGTTTCTGCTTCATTGCTTTTCCTTGGGCCTTTCCTGGAGGAAGAAGAGGTAGAAGATACACGTGTGCCCTGGGGTGGCCAATGGAAACCATCTCTGACAAAGCCCACTTGTCCCTGGCAGCTCAAGTCAGCTTACCCAGTCTTCCCAGGACCCCTTGGGATTAGACTGTTTGATTGGCTCAAGCCTCTTTAGGATAGTCAGACAGGCATTCTAAGAAAAAAAAGAAAACAAAATAAACCAACACTTTAATCAACATTAAGATTTCAAAAGTCAAACACTAGTATTAGGAGCAGCATTAAGTCCCCAAGAGTTTTCCATTTAAACCAACACTCCCTTTAGGACTTTGGCATATCATAAAACGGAACAAAGTTCAATAACTTGCTACATAGATAGAAATGCTGACTGAAATGAATTTTAAAACACACTGGCTGTGCTGTTAGCAGAAGGGAATTCCAAATACAGCACAGAGCCTTCCAGATCATGACGCAAAGTATTAGAAATCCATTTATGGTCGAGCTTTGTCTATACCAAGTCATAGGAGCACTTAGCACATCTAGCAAGGTGGTCCCATAATAAATAAATAAATGCCAAAATTCAGCCCACTCAGTCGCACTGCACAGAGAATAAAAGCAGCCTCAAGTACTTTGGGAGCTGTAATTTCACAGCCATCCATCCTCTTCTGTTCCAATCCGAGAATTTAGCTCATGTACCAAAAGGGCAATGCTAAATTCTTCTGTTCAACAGAAGTCACGTGCCCTGCATCCAGATGCATTCATACTGCACCATGTCAGAGACACACATGACAATGCCATTGCTACAGAAAGATATTTGCTTTAAGTGTATCAACGTTTTAAAGTCTTTGGTTTAGAGGGCAGCCTGCAAACCACCTGCAAGTAGTAAGTGCAGCACACTGGAATTCCTTTCTGAAGCAACAGATAAATATACATCATTTTTGGGGAGTCCCAGCTTATGACCCAGTAGTTCAAGGTACTCAGTTTCCATACATGGACAGCCATTCCATTGATGTCTGCACTGACGGAGGCAGCTGTCGGGGAGGTGTTTGGGACCGTGTTTGTGCTCGTCTCGCTGATGTAAATCTTGGAGGTGGGGATTCCCAGGGTCCTGCTAGCAACCTGGAGAGCAAAAGCAAAACACAAATAAACAGATGTTCTTACGCATGAGCATTCACTGCCTAGGCTGTTCAGTTCTGGAGTGCAAACTACTCTCTCCACGTCACTTTTCTTGGGAAGTCAGTTAGTTTAGTGATCCAGAGCTATGTGGGAAATGTGATTTGCCCTTGACAATCTGAGAATGCATACACACACACACACATATATATATGTACACACACACTTTTTTAAAAATAACAGGCATCCACCGAGACTAAATTCTTATCTCAATTAAAGAAATCAGAGGATAAAGAGTCTTAATTAGATTTTCCTTTAATTTCTCTGCTAGAACAATRCTGTTCTCCAAACCCTTTTGAAGAAAAAGGTAAATGCAATTAATGAATTGTTAACAAATGAATTTAAATGTTTGCAAWGTGACGAATATTTCTCTAAAATATACGTATGCTCTATTTTGGGTGGATGAAAAGCAGTTGCCATAGGACACTAGATTTCAATCATCATCTACACTATCTATATTTTCAGTTTCAGTTTTCCCAGATTTTAAAATGCACATTAAAACAAAACCAAGATGCAGATAATTCTAATTGTTGAACTTAGTTACAATGTCAGGCTGTAAATCTGGCACTGCCACTGAAGCAGTAAGCAGAATTAATCAGGATTTGTTACCCTGTACACAGGAGACTTCAAGCTGATGTGATTTTATTCAGTGAGTGCAAGTTCCCCAAAAATGTCTTCTACAGGTGAGTCTGAACATGTTCTTACCTGGATCATTTTAGTGTGAAGTCCTTGACCCATCTCAGTCCCACCATGTGTAAGTAACACAGAGCCATCTGTATACACATGGATCAGAGCCCCTGCCTGTAAAAGAGAATATTAATCCAGTAGCCATTCAAAAAGGAGCTGGTGAAATGCTTGGCAGACTTGAGTTGCAAACTAGAGAGAGACAAAGAATTCAAAACTAGGCTAAAGCAGCAAAATTGGATTACAGAAGGGAAGAATACATTGCTCCTGGGTGTCACTAAAGCCACTAGCGTACCCCTGGGGTGGATTTGCTCTTGCCTCACTGACTCGAGAGGTTTCACTGACATGACAAACCTCAGCCAGCATTTTCAGCCCAGAATGCAGGTGGATCAACCAGAACCTGCCACTGTGCAAGAGAAGTAGCCTTCATCTGAACCTGCCAACAGGGACAGCTCATCAAATCCAAGAACAGAGGCCACGCATTTGGACAAAATTAGCCATATTACAGAGTCATAGTCCTGCTAATATTGAGGAAGAGAGAACATGCATGGAAAGTAACATGAAGTGCCATAAAACATAAAAAAAAATGGTGCCTTCTGGACCATATAAACCATATAAAACAGCAACAACATCTTTTTTTCCCATTTTACTTTTCAAAAATCTGCGTTTTCTTAATAACTTACTCCTTCTCTGAGAAGATGTGGTTTGGTTCAGAGGGAAGAAGGTCTGGGGGAAGCAGAACAAATTTTGCTCATCTACTGAAAAGACAAATGACACTTACGGACCTGATTCAGAAACGGAATAGTGAAGCTGATGCCAAATTTGGTAGGAATAATGCACATCCCTCTTTTCTTCCAGCGATTCTGCCTGTAGAAAGAGAACATTACTTTTTACTCACCAGGCTTTCAGTGCAACTCCATGCCATGTTTCTCTCTAACTGCTTGGGTATCAAAGCTGAAATCAAGTACTTGACTGCAATACAGATTGAGTTCATCAGTAACTTTTTATGAAATATTGGCTATATTTATGTTTCCCAACAAGAAGAAATCTGAATTGAAGGTAATTCCCCAGATACTAAAAAAGTCATTAGACAATGATTACTATTAGCTAACCAATAAGACTATATAGGACTTTTAGCTAACCAATACAAATATTAATGACCTTAAAGACAAAAATGCAGTGGAAAGCCTGCACATACTGCCTTGATATTCTTCTGAAAAGTCAGGCAAAGACCGACTCAGTAGGCACTTCCTCTGCCCCATCTTCATTAAAAAACAAACAMACACCATGTCATGCTAAGCCAGATTTGAACTTTACCTACCAGGYCACAGAGATTTACTCCCACAGCGGAGTTTTAAAAAGAGAAATTTTAAAAAGTCACTCTCCAAATATGTGATCCGATTTCCCATCATTTTGGCTGCTAAGAGAACTTCAGAAACTTATGGGCAACAGGTTTTGTGAGCAAGAGGTACACACAGTTTCCCTGTGGTTGCAGAACACCTACCTGTTGAATTCTTCAATTTTCTTCTTCCTGGCATGATAGTGAGAGCTTGACAAACATTCATCCCAGCATCTTCGCAGAGTGAATCCCTCCAGCTTTTGGTTAAAATGGGTTAGATCCCCTTCATTGTAAAGATTGAGCTTCCGTACCTTCCCAGAGAAAGCAATATATAARGGACATGCCACATGTAATGCTTCAAATTACATTTTTTTTTAATAACATCAAAAGGAAGTTGTTCCAAATTTTACTCATTTTCTCACTCTACAGAACAATAGAGTTAATAGAAATCTCTGTTCATGGGAAAATAAGGAAACAAGGATGTTATAGCTGGGAATTTCAAGGATTAGGATTTAAGTATATTGGTAGTAAGATTAAGGTATGTGTTTTTGGACTTTCTAAATCTAGCTATATTACAAATATTGTTATACAATTGAGATTTTTAAGGAAATTTAATGAAACAGACGATAACTTATATCCCAAGGAAATATTGAGATCCTGCTAAGGATTTAGCAGAAATGAAGCAAAAATTCTTATGGTTCATAATTTTGCTGTAATTGTGCATCCTCTTGACAGAACCTGTTCAAAGACACTGCTGCCCTGAAATGCATCAGTGGATTTGTACCTCCTCAGGTGGAAGGTCACACTTCCGAGCAAGGTCACTCATCCAGCTTTCAGCAATCATCATTCCTTGAGGCCCTCCAAAGCCACGGAAGGCTGTGTTGGAGGACAGGTTGGTCTTGCAAATGATGCCCACACCTCTGACATTGGGGATGTTGTAGGAGTTATCCAAGTGTAACAGGGCTCTGTCCATAACCTGATGGAGAAAAGATTATGGGGGCAAACTTAACAACTCCGATATTAAGCTTTTGTTAGGTTTARGCACTGCCTAACCAACTTGTTGATGTAGACACCCTTCTCTGATCAGCAAGAKGATTTGATTATCTCCTGTTACAGGGAACTAACTTTCCCATACCTGCCTCACTGGACTGGCTATCAGCCATCCTGCATTGTGCAACAAGTCTCCTGTCACAGCCCTCTGCATACATTTGTAATGCAAAATAAACTTTCCTGAGCCTTTTGCCTAATCCAAGTTATTACAGCATCAATAAGCATTATGTGGCACTTGCCATGGCAGGTCAGTTGGCTAAGACAGTAATTGTAGAAGCCTCCTCAAAATCACCAAGGTCTAGTTTGAATTATGTCAAAGAGCTGAATGTGCAAGCATTTCTGTAGGCACAGTTCTTCAAAATCCAAGCAAAAGACTGCCCAGGGAAACATGTCATCCACTTATTTATCTGTCAGAACATTTCTTCTACTTACACCATAAGAGAGGTCTACAGAGTTGCCACCATTGCTGTAGTATGACACCTCCAAGCTCTTGACCTTCCCATTCTTCATGAAGCCAACCTGTTGAGACAGTCTCTTCAGTAATGTTTCTCCTAAAGAATATTCTGTTTCCTGCTCCCCACCCAAAACTCAGTGGACCTCACACAAACAAGAAGGTGACTGGTCGTCCTCTGCTGTAGCATAGGACAAGCACTGGAAGGACACAGGACAACCTCAGGAGGTTTCACTGTAAGAGCCCAGGTAAGCACCTCAASAGAGCACTTCTGAAATCAGTGCTGGCCACTGGCAGCAGCCACTCCCTCCTTAATAGGATTTGGTTTTCTAAGCAGTTGAATGAGGATGAGAGAAGAAAGCAGGTTACCCAAACAATTAGTAATGTAATGCTGCAAACTAACTGGGGGCCATCTAAGAGTAACGTAATTTTCAAGGAGGTCACATTTTTGCCTTATGGAAAGAGGGAAGCATTCACTCTAAGGTTAGAAGGAAGGATCAACWGGAGCCTACAAAACTTTCACAGGAYTAACAGATAAAACTCTACAACTGAGCTGACCAGGCTCATCTGCAGCAGGAGAGAGCAGCAGAGAAACCAGGGCAACAAGTTTATCACGGTATCTTACTGCTCTCTGATGCATCAGATAGCAATGCCCAGAAGACATGCCTTCATTTTATGTGCATGCATACCTTGTACCTCCCCAGGAAAGGATGCCTTCCACCGCTTATCAGCATGTCCTCATCTCTATCCAACATACACCGCACTGTGCGGCCAGTTCTGTTAAAGGAAAAGATGCATTTATCAAGCAAAGCCTAAAATGTGCTATCCAGTTCTTACAGAGGAACTGTAGGAGCCTTTATGTGTGTGCTGTCTTTCCCGAGTGGCAACGGCTACATGAGTTAAGTTAAAATTGCCTGGATATAGCTTCCTCTTAAGAAAATGCCAAAATTAAGTGAAAAGGGAAAATATCTTAGAAACTGGGAGGTGTTCTTTGAAAGTCTCATGGAGACTCCTGCATCAAAAAGGATGGTTTCTTATAGGCACAGATAACAACAACTRAGTGGTCACTGTTTCTGGACTATTTCTCAAGGCTCTCTTTTGGCTCTGCTAGAGAAAATACCACATAAATTATGAAATAATGCTAAGGACGGTAATACTTAGACCTCAATTTGACCTTGTCTTTAGTTGTTTATTTACTATTCATGGAGGAGCAAAGCAGCTCTTCATTTTCAAACATGCATGACTTCCCAGTGCCTCTTTTCAGATTGCAAAAATATCTAGGGAATGTCATAGATGTAATTTCACTGCCTCTGGAATATGAGATCAGTAATTTGGCTGATAGTGATAAAAACAACAAAAGTTGAATATGTACTAGTGATTAAGTAGAGAAAGCAGAAGGTTTGCTCAGAATGGAGAAAATAAACCTGGCTTAAGTACAGGAGCTTCATTTCGGCTGTTCTCCTCTAAAGATACTCTATCAAATTACTAGTATGTCCCAACATACAGCTAGCATTAACACTAGGGAACATTCTAGCATACAGTACCAATAAGGGGAAGAGTTAAATGCAGTGCACAAGYGTCATCTCAGAGGCCACATTCACTCACAAACACAAAAATTTGCACAGTTAAAGATGAACTCACATCAAACCTCAAAATACTAGAAGTTCATTTGCAATTTGCACCTCACAAATGGATGCAAYGCAGGCTAATTCTATGAGCTTTTAGGGAGCTGAAAAGTAGAGCTCTCTATACTGAGGTCTGCCTCCCTTCAGAATGAGGCTGTTATACCCGTTATACAAAGCATAACCCAAGCGAGACTACTGCTGGATTTTGAAAGGTTTTGGGGGTGAACTGGAGCGGCAGTAAATTTGAAATAGAAGATTTTTAAAACATCAACAGAAAAGCAAGTTTTTTCATTTTCTTATTTACATTGCAAAAGCTGACATTCCTCGTAAGCCCAATCCCTTCCAGAAGTTTCAGTTCTTCTTTCAGCTAAGAGCCCAAACCCCCATAGGAATGCAGAAACTTGCTGCAGAAGACACTAAGAGCCTWCAAAGGGCCCCAGCACAAGCGGTGCCCCAAAATGAGCAGCCTAGGACAGGGAAAGTCTTGAAGGAAGAAGCACAATTCCCTGTACCCAAACTTACTTGAAGGCAGCCACAGCCACCACAGTTGAAAAAATAGTATTTCTAGTCTCTTTTCCTCCAAATCCTCCTCCCATTCTTTTCACCCGAACCACAATTCGATTTGAAGGCACTCCTAAAGCATTAGCAACAAACTCCTAAAGAAAAACAGAAAACCAGAGCTGATGGTAAATAATAGATAACAAAACAGGACTTGTCACWGCTTTCTCCATTCTGCAAACTTTGCAACACTGCAAATATTCTGCTACTATAGCAGGTCCTATTGATCCTGCAAGTGAATTGGTTGCTTCACTGCAGGAATGATTTAGCAGAGACCATGAGATTTAGGAAGAGACTGATGTGAGGTTATCTTACCACGGCATGCATCATCTCATTTATCACAAAGTGATCCTTTCCACATTCTCCACTCTCCTCACTCAACTATGAGACATCCGGATAGTCTTGATGTCCACAACAGCACCACATTTCAAAGAGAATGTAAATTACAAGGGAAGATTTATAGGGAAAAGTGCTTTTCTTGTTGGAAGTCAGTGAACAGGGCAAAGACATCTCATCATCCCAGCAGCCTGTCCCACGAGGTGGCAGGGTTGGTTTATATTGCCAGTGTTTGCACCACCTCCCTTTCTGACATGTCATTCAGTGGCCATGSCTATTCACCAGCTAGCCACATCCCCAGAAAACAGTTAGAGATGTGATCCAGCCACAGAGAGAGGTGCTGCCAGCAGAAACTTCTCCATCATTTGAGAGTGAATTCAGAACAGCCTGGGGGCTGGATAATGACTTTAGATCCTACATCCATCTCTTAAGCAGCGTGGCATTTTTATACAAGACAAGCTCAGATGAACTGCAAAACAACAGGTTACCTAGTCTAAGCACTGAGAAGCCAATGCCTTTCAGGCAACAGGCCAGAGAGAGGCAGTACCTGAGTCTTCATTAGGTTTTGGGTTGACACAAAGAGCTCCATCTCACCATCTTCCCCCTTTGGCACAGCCACAGTGCAGTGAGTTTCCAGATAAAAATGCTCTTGTCCACCAAGGTACATCTCTCCTAGAAAATATATAAAAAATGCCTCATAGATAGGCTATCTCTGGAGTCATAAGAGATCTCCCAGGACCTGCTGTCTGTAAACCCWTCTGACAGGTGTTAGTAAATTGAAATTCAAATCTGAAATTTAATCTGAAATTAAATCTTCCATAAGCTATTTGTATATAAACAGTAGGTTAAAACTTAATATGGAATCAGTTCAGCCCAGCAAGCCTTACTTGCATGAACACAATATTATGTGTGTGAAAATACACACACATAGCCTTATAGTTTGACTTTTTTTGTCAAACTATCCTACTTGAAAACAGCTATTGATATTTATTCTTACCTTCCAAAATATGATCCGATTCTTCAAATCCTTTCTTTACATCTCCCTTATTAAGATTTCGTATAGGCTTAAAAAAGGATTGTTTTTCAATAGCTTCCTAGGAAAGAAAATAACAGAGGGAGGTTTCCTATGAAAACAGTGACAACAATTCTCCCTCTTACTGAAAAAAAATATCCAAGATAAAAAGCACAAGAATTTATCASATACTCATTATGGTAATAATCAAATGACTTAACTTAGAGCAATAACAAGCATTTTTTTCACAACATGGCAATTTTACAGAAAGTGGACAATCTTAGGKCCTTGTCATCCATTTTATCTTATGGACCCAGAACCCCAAAGTTCATATACAGCAGAGCTAAAACAGACAACTTACATGAACTGAGGAACCAAGTCCATAGCTTGGAATGAGAGGGGCAGGGGAGAAACAGAAAAGAAGGACAAGCAGCAAGCTAAATCTCTCAGAACGGATGAGAACATCTCTAAAAACCATTTCCTTTGGAATCAAAATGCTATAATCTTTCTTACTGAAATTTTACAAAATTTCACATTTCCCTTTTGCCAAAGCTGAARCTTCCATAATAAAAAAGGAACTGTGGTCACTCAGAAAACTTTAAAAACTGCTAAAAGGCTGTATCTATGCAGTAAGTGGAAATGTTCATTGTGGAGACATAACTCCAGCAAATTAATTTCATCAGCTTTAGAAATCAGTCAAACATGCCGAAAATTTGTAAAGAAATAGAAATTGTGCGGCTACAGTGAGAAGGGACTTTTCCATGCCTTCTTACTAAGATGTGTTGTAAATCAGCAACTGGAGAATATCTGAACATTCACACCACCAAAACCAGCAGAAGAGGGAAGGGAAGTATGTGTGGGTAAGAACACGACTGAAAGCAATCTTGTTAAACAAATCTGGGTTGTGTGCAAGGCACGTCCCAGAATGTCYTATCTGATTCAATGACAAAATCTGTAGAACAAGTTAACACACTGCCAAGTAGTAACACCCAAAGGCGTATCCTACTTTATATTTAAATATATATTATTTTTAGCTGTATCCTGCTGCATTCACATAGCAAAGGCAACAAAGCACCTGGCTAAATAACCTCCTGTGCAAGAATGGAGATGAAGCAGACATCAGGGGGCCACAGGTTAACCTGGGAAGCAGATCTGGGTCATCTTACCTGAATTGTGACAATAGGTTTCAGCTCCTCATACTTAATCTTTACAGCTTTAGCTGCTCTTCTGGAATGTTCTTGTGTGTCTGCAACAACTGCACCAATGATATGACCGACACAAGTGACCTAGAGGTAAGAACAGGATCCATCACCACTTGCTGTAGGTGCCTGAAAGAACTGTAAGGCTCATGATGATTTCTCATTTTTTTCTTTAGTGCAATTCATTTTTATTGTTTGGACCAGCSTTTTTAAAATTAGCTTTGAATTGATTAAGGAATATTCTAATATTAGCCAAGTCRTGGCTAAAAGTTGTGGTATTTTGAGGAATATAATTCAGGTAGTTGTATGAGAGCTATATGAATTATATATTGTCAAAAATTACCCCTATCTGGTCAAGAAAAAAAGAAGATTGCAAATACCTTTGGAAAGCAACTGAATGAAGGAGCCTGTTTCCATTGCCTACAGCTTAGAGGAAAATGGTACAAATAGGTGTAGATTAGGGGCACAAAGCAAGGAAATTCAGGCCCAATTGAATTACACAGCAAGATTTCTACCGACTCCAATGCAGCCAGAATTTCACTTTGTGTATTGTTGAGGACTTTACCGGAGAAAATGAGAAACTCCATCTCCTATGCAATGTAATTAAAAGAGGCTCTTTTTAATGACATACCATGCCATCAGCAAAAACAGTTTCATCATTAGCAATGCCAGTGATGTTACTCCCAGGAACATCTTTCATGGAAACAAAAGAAACAAACCCYGGGACAGTCTGGGCTTCAGATGTATCTACAGAACTAAATAAAGACAGTAAGAGAGGCAGAGTTATTACTTTTCATTGGTCTAATTCTGTAAATACTTATACGCATGAAATACCAATGAATCTACAGACCTGACTCTGGTCTGACTATGCAAAGCAGGATGAATAATCACATGAAACCAAGGCAGAAAGGCAACATACAGTATTTAAATCCTTGGGAATCTATATTATAATTCAGGTCTTGACAGACAGTCTGATACCCAGTCTACTGTAAACTATACTGTATCATACATTTGGTGAGACACATCTGAAATTGACCTCCTGATCACAGCTATTAAGGATCTCCTGGAACTTTTACCCAAAAATAGATTGATTATAATGATGGCCCTGCTTTCGTTTACTGTTCTCTTAGCTGTTACGGTCCTGTGAAGGCAAAATTCCTTTCTGTTCATTGATAAACATGAGATTTTACTGCCTCCACATGGCACCAACAGTGTGTTTGCCTCTACAGAAGAATGTAGCTGTGAGACTCTAGGAAGTTGGTAAGTAAGCTCCAAGACACAGAAAGTGTCACAGACTGTCTTCCTGGTAGCCAGGAAAAGAGCTATCTAAATAAAATGCTTGCCTGCTTGAGTCATGTGCTGATTTAAAACCAAGTGATAAGCAAGACAGAATATCACTATAAATATTTTGCAGAAGACTTTCAAGTTGCCTTTGCAATACTTTCTAAGTTGGTCGTGCAATTGGCTGGCTTGACAATGGAGCTGTTGCAAACAGAAGAGCTGTGGGTTTGTTTCTCCTGAATGATTTATTGTCTTCTCTAAATTGCAGTAATTCTTCCAGCATGCTCGTAGAGATTCCTGAAACTCTGATACAAAATGTGCCTGAAAATAGTTGTTCATGAASCCCAGTGAGCCATGAATTTGAAATATATGTATATACTTGTATATATTTTATATATAAATACATATATAAATATATAAATATATTTTAAATTATATTATATATACATATTATTACATATACATTATATGTATATTATATATTTTTATATATATATAAAATGAACTTTCATGCACAAGCTCTTGGACAGTAGGAGCTGAAGTCAATATTATTTTTCTTTGGAAAATTCGCTTTCCTGTGCTTCTGCAAAAAGACTTCCAAAGAATCCAATGACCCATTTCCTTTGTCAATACGGAAGCAGGTGATTTCTAATTTAGTGGTCAAAACCTGACTCGGATGAACTGGAAGTTTTCTCATCAATTTCAACAGAGCCAATATTTTGAACAGCAGTCATAGGTGGAAATACCTGTCACTTGATGTGAAATATTCTGCCACATCCTCTGCAGTGACACAGACTTATGGCTTGAAATGTGTATGGACAGTGCAAACACAAGAGTATGTGCACCAGCGCCTAGAAAATACTGTATATTGTGGTCACAAGCATAGATCTGATATTTTTCTCTATTGTCTTACGTGCATGGGTAGTAGTAACAAGGCTTATGTGTTTGTGACGCTGTCAATGACCAAGTTGAGACACCTAAGGTTTAACTATGAYGACACAGCAGTTTTGTTCATAACCTGGGGGTCAATTCCATCTGTGCATCCATGACACGGCTGCATGTCCTGTATTAAATCACTGTGGGAAACCTGAGCAGGAAGTCTAAATAGGCAGGAAGTATTGCCTAAGGAACAAACACCACATTGCGAGGCTACAGTGAAGATGACACGGGGCAGTGTAATGGAGAATGTCCCACATCAAAGCACTTGAGAGCAGCAGAGAGCATGCAGAGCCACCGCAGTGGAAACACAATYAGGGGCTGTGTGTGGCAGGCAGTACCACACTGTAACAGCTTTAGGGCTCACATGAGAATGTGTAAGACATTAGCTGCCAGCATAGACTGTTGAGAGTTGGTTAGTCAGCATGGTTATAAATTATGCACCAGCCACGCTCTTATGGAAAAGATATGCTTCAAGCCAGCTGAACTTCCAGCTACCTGCCTATCCACCTCACTAGAGCCAAGCACAAACAGCTCTATATCTTTTAGCTGAGGCTAATTCATACAGGCTGCTGTGCTGAAGGATTGACTATGGCCAGAATACTCAGCAAGGTAAAACAGAAGATGGCACGTGCACAACTGACTACACACTGCTGGGAGTGGGGCAGTGGAACTCCCAAGCTCAGCTTCAAGGCAGGCATGTTCAAGCTGCATGCTAAGGTCAGGGATTAAGATGACATCTCAGACATTGTGATACTCTCCTATCCTCCTGCTTTTCAGTCTTGCATATTTGCATGTAAGAGATGGGTCATGCAAGAACATGCCTAGGGGCTAGGACTTTGTGCTCCGGCAAAGCTGTGAGTTCAGTATTAAATCCTTCATAGTCCCACCAAGAGAGATTTGCAAGAAAGCTGTAACATACACAGATCACCTCTGGATAATGATGTGCAACAAGCTGGAATTCCTACTAATGCAAGAACCTTCCCCTCACCCCCCTCCTTGACAGGTCAGTGCTTTCTTAGACACCAGACACTTGATACCATTTGAAACTCAGGAGCAGCACTTACAGKATCTTAGCGTGGGCTTTGGTGCTGGTCACCAGTGTTAGATACAGTTCATTCTCATAGTGAGGGATATCATCGCAGTAGACAGCCTCCCCACATGCTTGTTTGGCTGCTGAAAGGTGCATCAAAGGCCGGCCCACCATATCTTCAGCTGCCTGCCCTGGGGGCACTTCCTGGAGTAAAACACATAGSTTGCTGCTGCTGCTGCAGCAGACACAGGCATTCACGAGAAAGCAAAAGGCAAGAGATACATTCTAGTGAGCTTGGAAAGCGCTAAGTCCTCTGGAAAAGGAAGATAAACATGATGGAGTGACTGCACAGAAAGAGGGACACCTCATTCTCTACGGTAGCTGTGGAGAATGAGGTGAAAGGGATTCAATTCTTTGAAACAGCTATATAAGACAATGATTTGTTATGACCACTGGCATGCAAAATTCAAATTCTACAGCCAGCTTCTCCTCTCAAGGCTAAAGATAACAGGTCATGATCAAAGAAACAAGATGTAACCTGAATCCAAGACTTGAGAGATGCAAAGAGAGGCAGGCTATAACTGTGCAGGATAGAACAGTTTCAGTTTGGATACAGAGCTCTTGGCTGCAGAACAAAATTGCTACCCATTCAGGAACAAAGTCTTGGGCAATGACATRAAGGAATATTGTATCCTAAATCAAGAAAGGTGCAGAGACCCAAATACAAGCCTCATGAATAGCATGACTGCAGCAAGTTCCTGTATAGTTTGTACTCAGGGAGGCAGCAAGACAATAAGCAACACAGTTTGGACCACAGAAAAGACTGAGCGTGGATCATGTAGGTACTGCTACTTACTTGAAAGAGCTGAACATTTGCAACGGGATCTTTGTGAAACAGCTCAGTGGCACTGATGTAGTTTGAAGGGATGGGCTCACACAGCTTGTTCTGCCAGAGATACATTAAAGAACCATCATCTCCCCTGCCAATCCCTTTCTAACCTTCCCCAGTAGCTCTTTTTTCCCCCAAGCTGAAGTTTCCCTTCTGATGTACCAGGGTAACCTGCAGACCCTTGAGGCGCAAATGTGCCGAATGGAGGCTGGTCAKCAGACTGTGCCTGTTAACACTGTGTGGCAGAAGCTCGTAGCTGCCACACAGATAGGCCTGGCACTCAGCTAGCTGTGAAGATAACCCACCTCTTACAGGTAAAATCGGAAGAATAACTGCAGCCCCACACGAGTAGGCACAGCACACTAAATAGGAAAATTCTAAGAGTGCTCTCACATGCCTGCAGAGCAGTGTCTTTCCACAGCAATGTGGGAATGACAAGGGTAAGTGGACAGAAACATTGGTAGCTCTTGCAAAACCAAGTTTTCCGCCAGAAAATATTCCCCTCCTGACCACCTGCAGGCACGCCAAGCCTGCTGCTCCATCTGTTTGTACATGAAAACTCCTCACATCTTCCCATCCAGAGAGGACACCCAGTCCATCTTTCCCAGCAGCACTCACAGGGCCATTGGGCTGCTTGCTCAGCTTCTGAAGCACCGTCAGGTAGAACTTGAAGAAGAAGCTGAGCGTGAGTGTGCGTCGGAAATCCACCATGCCACCAGGTGCAGAAGGAGACAGGTCCATCTCACCTGCCAGCAAGCGGCAGGCATCCTGCAGCAGCTTCTCATTCCAGTCTCTGCAGAGAAACACAGTGACAGCCAGTGCTTGCTTAGCCCTAAATATCACCAGGGCAGATTAACTCATGGCAACTCCACTGGATCTCAAGTGTCAGTCACTCTATCTCTAGCTCTATCTATAGTATGTACATCATGCTTGCTCTCATATCGGGCATATGTCTTCTGTTCTAAAAGTATGGCCATGCCACCAAGTGATGAGTGCAGGTTTCTTAGTCAAGCTTGAATGAAACTCTGATTTGCAGGCTATCCCTGTGCCTAACCTCTGCCCACCTCTAAAGATGAGTGCATTTATCAGGAATATGGCTCTCAGTGAGAGACTGGCTTGAAGCTCTGAGGGAAAGAAGCACTGGAAGAAGCAAGGCTTCACACAGAACAGACCGCTGGAGAACTGCAGCAATGCTTTCTTCCTCTTTCTCCTTCTGGGTGCTATCAGAGAGGATTCAAGATAGTTAAATTTGTTCCTGCAAAGGTCAAACTTGTTCCTACTAGACAGCCTTTCTTATCACAGGAAGCTTCCTACCTCCCAGTGAGCTCTTGGCAAGTTTTTATTGCTAGGACAGTTGTAGGAGCCATTCCTCCATAGCTCAGTTTAATCTCTTCCACTCGGCTAGTGCCTTCTTGGAACCGGACTCTCATCCCACAGGTCACAATAGCAATGTCATCCTCCCGACGTGAAGCCTGCTTGAAAGCCGAGAAGTACTCACCCTAGGAGAAAAGAAGAGATTTCTTTATTCTTTATCTTGGCATGCTTTGGAAAGCAGACATGGTGCTGGCCTGTCCCTACTTGGATGAGCTATTCCAGAGCACTGTATCTGACTGATCCACCTAATCAGTGCCAAGCAGAACATATTTGTTGAGGAAGCACTGTGTTCAAAGATTAAACTTATCCAAGCTAGAATTGTGTGCGTGATTAGCTTTGATGGAGATCTCCTGGTACCTGTCTTCCCCCCCCCCATGTCTTAGGAAGAGGAATCAAGATTTATATATAAAATATATATATAATATATATATATAAATCTTGATTATATATATAAAAAAAATTGATTTTTTTTTTTGCTCTTGGAGTTTGCTCTTGCTTGGTAATTTTTAATTTCTCCAGGTCTGCAAAGCTGCTGAGTTGGAGGCCTAATAAGTAACACCGAGATCCTCCTAAATAATTTCTCTTCTTGCTCTTTGGAAAGTCTTTGAACTCTGGAAAAAATGCTATCAGTAATCACAAATGGATCCCAGGCTAGTGGATGTTAAACTCAATTTCAGGTTGTTCCTACAAGCATATTTATCAACAACTACCCTGACTCCAAGCAGAAAGGAGCTGGTTTTCAAAGCATCAGCTCCTACCTCTCAGAAATCTCAGAAGCTCTATGTGAAAGAGTGACATGCAACATGAGGTTAACACTCTGCCACTTTATACCACATGATGGTATCACCTGGGATCCATAGCAAACTCAGTTTTAACTCTTCCCTATCCAGCTGGGTATTTTCTGCAAATTCCCACTCAGACATCCTGCAGATTAAGAGAAGAATTTGATCTCGTGACTTTGCATGGCCTTTCTGAGAAGTTTGCTGTCTATTGATTTTTATAATGGCTTAGCCGAGTGGCTCTGCACAGCACAATGCCTTGTTCCATTAATTATCTCTAATCAGAAGTGAGCAACACTTTTTCCATTGCTGTAAAGAACAATTCCTCTATTGTTGGCTTAGAGAAATTTCACAAGAGGCCCGTTTTATGCATTAAGATCTCATTACTGGAGATCTAACTGGAGTGTGTGCTTCATTTCCTGAATTCAACTAATTAGTGGGCAACCTGCAGATAACAGCCGGGGAGCATCAACAGCATCCTCCCACCAAGCACACCATGCCACTTTGCTTGTTAAAGCAACTAGCCTTCAAAGAGAAGAAAAGCAGCTTCTTCCCTTACTGCACATTGCAGAGCAGCTTTCCAATAACATGATTACAATAAGAAGACAACACTTGCTCTCATTCCTCACAARAGACCATCGTTATGTTGGTGCAAAGTCCTGTAGGAGACAAGGCATCTGCTGCTGTTCTTCATCATTAGCTAGAAAGCTAGGTAAGGTCAACCATGACAGCAGCTGTCTGTGATTGCCTTTGCCCTACTTCTCAGTAACAGAGCCAAGTGTGTCCCTGTTGTTTTTACAGTTAAAGCTTCTAGGAGTTAGTTATCTCACAGGAAAAAACACACTTTCATAGCAAAGGGGGAAAAAGCATAATGCAACTGAGACTGCAAGGAGTTTTGCATGAATCTAAACTAGTCTCCTATCTTTTCTCCTAGAAGGCAGGCAATGCCAACTAGGAGCACACAAAGAGCTCCACAGGTTCCAAAAGATTTGCAGGCAATATTCACTATTGCAAAAACATCGTTTCTATGTCRGTTTATTCAGTCCACTGACAGGGAAGAGAGAAGTCAATAATGTCAAGAAGGTTGCAGGATACTAATTTGAGGGATGAAGACAGACTCGATCAGACATTTCTCTAGTGGGACAAAAGTTATAATATCATGAACATGCAATGACAACACTGAGCAGATCCTAGTTTAAGAAATAAATATATAGCCATTGTGTTGACAAGATTTTTCTATTAAAAAGTGAACACTTACCTGATAAAGAATGGTATTATAAAAGATTAAATAACAGTAACAAACATGAATAGGAAAATATACACAATGAAAAGAWTATGAAGGTCTGATGGTCATTAAATAATAATGCAGGTGGTGGAMAACACTTTTCTGAACTTTATCTGGAGCACAGGGAATGTTTTTATAGCCCAGAAGAGGGCTATTAAGCAGAGGCTATGTCCTCTTCTAGAAATGCCATTTGATACATTCAAAATTGTTGGTTTATCTTCTGGAATCTGCTTGCATGCATCTTTAATCCAGTGAACTGTTTTCTTCTCTAAACACTGTCCCTGCTTAGCTACATTTGCCTTACATAGACTATAAAACCTTTTTCCTGAATAACTTCAACAGCTGACACACAAATTAGCAGGGGAAAGAGGCTGTTACCTCCTCTCCCTAAAAGTTCTCTCCATACAATAAAGCCTAACATGAATTTAATCTCTCTACACCAACACTAAATAGTGAAAATGGTTAAACTTCTTTGGTCTAATTCATTATGTTGTTTGACAGTCTTAACATTTGCGTAACAAGTCATACCAATGCAAGCAGTAATATCAGCTTTAAACCAACATATATGAGAAACTTGGATCCTACTGTATGCTGACACAACTCTGCTTCCCACTGYGAGGAAATCAGTTATAGAGCACTTTGCCTGCCTCATCCCAACACTTTCAGACATCTCTTGAAGAACTTCAGTCATCCTGGCTTCATGTTTGTGAGGAAAGATCAACAAGAATTCATGAAGCAGAAAGTTCAAAAGTTATTTTAGTTATTCAGATCAATGAGCTGCATATAACTTACAGATCAAGCCACTGCCCTTGTGGTAAAAGTTTGTTTTGTGAAATTTGCCTAGAGTATAAGCTTTTTTTTTTTTTTTTCTCTCCCCACAGTCATAAAGTGGAACATGGTGTTGTCCATTGATTACCTCAAGCATATCTCTCACTTTGGCAACAACTAACGCTTTTTACAACTACCACAAGTTCAAAGTAGAATCACTCAAAGATAGAAAAATAATCTCTTAATATTTCCATACAAAAAATAGAGAAGATAGAATCACAGAATGCTTAAGGTTGGAAGGGACCTCCAGAGATCATCTGGTCCAWCCCCCAAAGGATTGGGCAACAAAATACAAGACAAAGCATTTTTTATGTTCTATCTCATAACATGATAACATTTCTGGAAAAATCAATGTTTTCCATTTATAAAGATGATATATTATAAAAGAATTTACACTGCAGTGACATAACTAATGGCCACAAATTCTAAAAAGGTTCTTAATATCTTCAATGACATAAAATTACAATCTAATRTTCTCAAGTCTTAAGGGAAAAAAATGAGTTCTACTTCTTAGGCACTGAATCAGTTGTGACTCATGCTGCTACAGAAAATAGTTGTTCATAGATCTATGAGAAGGACCCAGTTGAAGTTGCAAGGCCACAATGACAAAATGCCAGAACAATCAGTCCTTGCGTTTTCAGTATTGCAAGAAAAAGATATGGAAATTGAACTTCCCTCTCATTCCTGCTAACTTTTGCACAATCATTTTCACATTTCTTTTCCCATTGCAGATCATAGAAATTAAACAGGTACTTCAATTAGYTTGCTTCACTTACTTTGGGAATTGCTAGCATCTTTGCTGCATTATATTGTGAACAGAAAACTTAGACTTTAGGGAACGTTAYATTGTCACCTTTCATCATTAGTGAACGCATTCAAAAAACCTATAGAATGAGGTGAGGTTTATTTATTGCACAACAATTCTTGGACTTAYTGCACTTCACTAGAGAGCCCACCTCCCCTTGCTTATCCAAAAGAGATTTTCACAAAAAAAGATAAAAACTTTGCTGATCCAAGGGAYTGCATAAGCATTTGCAGGTCATTCTTCAAAGAAGGGTGCCTAATATATGTAAACTAACACGTAGGTACCACTGGTTTAGCTGCCCYGAAGCCTATTCCCAGCAGCTCACCTTCCTGCTGTAGGGTATCTCAACAGAGAGAAGTATTTCTTCAGGTTTCAATATTGTTTTTCTGTATCCAGTGAAGAACTTTTCATCCATTGTGATAGTCCTTTTGCCCTCTGTAGATCAAGGAGATAACAATGATACGRAATATCATGGATATGGAATCAGTTTTCATTTTCCAACCCTGCTTCACCAAATCCAGAAGGATTTTCTTATATGTAATTTGTTTCTTATGGAACCTATCATACCATCTGTCTATGTATGTTTCTTTTGCTCAGGAACTGATCAAAGAGACTTCTCAAAGTCCTTCCTCCTCCTCAAAGCTAATTAAAGCTGAGTCTCTGAGTGAATTCAGTTCCATCATCCCAAAGCGGTTGGGAACCCCTCTTTCACCTTACCTTAGCTCACACACAAACTCATTACAAGTGAAAGTCTCTGATCAAAGAGTTCCCTTAGTTCTCAAAATGATCATATTTCAGGGGGGGGAAAAAAAGATAATCTCAAAAGTAAATACAAATTGAGATATCATTCCATAGACAAAAACAGGTATCAATCTTTATCTGAAAAAATCCACAAGACTTCAAGGATGGTAGTGACAGAAAGAACTCATGCCTGTAATGTTAGTTTTTCCAGTGAAGGGATATCTTCAACCAAGTCTTCGCGAGGACGTGTCTGTGAGTGTGTGCACAATACTAGAGATTCATTTTACTAAAGCTAAAACTACTTTAGAGAACCAAGCTTAAGTCCAACATTAAGTCTTTAGCCTTATAAAAGGAAAGCCCCCATAGACTCATGTTAAGCCTATGTTCTTTAATGATAACGTGCGCTTTCCTCAAGCTCTCACCTGACCTAATAATATAGGAAAGGACTGATGGCAACCCCACCTTCCCTGGTGCCACAAGGAAATGTAACTTACCATTTGATATCAGAGTCAGCTTGCTTCCACTTGCCATTAACACAGGATTTAAGTCAGAAATGGGGCTTGCTGTCATTATGTTTCCTCCAAGAGCCTAGCATAATGCATGCATTAGATAAGTATTCAACAGCAATATAAACAGCACTCTGTAATCGTGTATTACTTCATACACAGTGCACTACAGTACAGCTATAGTTGAGCTTATTTTGATAAACTCTTATCCTCACTCAGCAGTTTTAGGTCTATAATGCAATAAGAAAAAAATACAAAACCCATTTAATCAATTGCAGTCCCAGCCAACCCCAACATTGAAACAGTTTTAGGAATAATCTTTGAGTGTCATCACATCAGAACAGTCTTTAAAGTATGTTCAAAGTATATATGCCCTATGATGCCAAAATTCAAATACTGGAGCCGCAATTAAGATCCATTAAATATAGTACACCTTTCCAAGGAATCCACATTTGTTGGCTACAGCACAAATGCGTAGCACAAAATCTTACAGAGCAAAATCTTGTGTTGGGCAGGTTGACTCATCAGCCTGCTGGACTCTTTTTAATATATGGAGTTTGATCTGTTCTAACCCATCTCTTCTGACACCTAGTTTTAGATAGCATGCAAAATACAAAGAAGCGACTTCTTCGGATCTTATGTTCTTTCATATCCTAAGGAAATTCTACCTTTGCATCTTCCAGGTACAATATCATCATATCAAAAATCTGTTTAAATAAATATTTACTGCCTCTGCAATGATTTTCTTCTCAGATGTTACACTGAAGTACTATTGTTCTGATTGCTTTCAAGTGCAATATGACCTACATATTCCCACAAAATTATAAAAATACTGGAACTCAGCTTCCRACACCCAAAGCACCCTTGTGTCCAAGCAGTGCCTGTTTGTTTCAAGTAGTTCCTAATATCACTAGAGTCTCTTTCACAACTTTCTTCTCTCATATCTGTAGAAAATGAAAACCAATCTACAGGAGAAACAGAAACAAACTCAAAATGAAAATGCTTTGAAGCAGTGTCATAAGTCAATCAGGAGCACTGGCAGGGAACCATCAATGAAATAGGCATTCTGTGAGATGCTCCTATATGACACTTTTTCCAACAGTTTCACTTATAGATAGTGAAATTTATACCTTGTAAAAAAACAGCAAACCTCTGAAAAATTTGATAGAGTTGATTCATTAACCCTCTGTGTTACCAAAAGCCTATACACATCTGCTTCTTTGAACTTTTCTCCATCACTCTAAATGCATTTTTGTTAAATTAGTCAAAATTCTGTAAGGTTTCCCACTTTTATCCTGATAATAGTCACAGAAGATAGAGACAATGGATTTATGGTATCAATGCATGACAGACACCATCTGAGACTCATGTTGCTGTTCAGTTCCAGAGGTTTAGATGGACCAGATTCTTTGCCTGGGTTGCATGAGGAACACATGGCACACCAATATGGGATGGGACACCYGATCAGCTCCTCAGACTGAGCTTTCAGTTCCAGTTCCTGGTGCTCCCAAGTCACTTACTGCAACGTTTCTGATCTGTGGCCCTGCAAACCACCGCAGCTGCTCAAGGACAGCCTGAAACACTTCTGTTTTGTAGGGAGGAAGCTCTGCCACCATTTTTCTCAGCACCTCCTCTATTGAGCTCAGAGTACAGGCAGCCCCAAAACTGACTCCTGAAAATGAACAAATAAGAGAAATTGGTCTTCTTTTACCAAAAGTCRAAGTACAGGAGAGCATAGATATAACTGTATCTACAAACAAAGCTTAGATACCACTGAATTTAAACTGGACAGCAGTGTTTGGAAAAAAGAATCAGTCACACCATTTTGTTCTGCAGAAAAAGTATGTGCTGTATGCAAATACCACATTTCCCAGAACAAAATTAGTTTCTAAATCACAGCTTGTGGTGGTGCTGCTTCTCACATGACAATGATCCACCTACCCACCTTGTGCTTCCATGCTTAAGAGTTATTCCCTTCCTATAGGGGTTAGCTCATCTTTTGAGAGCTGAAATCCAAATCCCTCTCCACTTTCCATGTCTTAAACATACCAGTAGGCTGTATATGAAGGTGCCTGACACGAAGCCACATGTACTACATTGTTCCTGTTAATTCTGATTTTTTTCTAAGTTTAACCTGCTCCCGTCACAAAGATAAATGAAATACTTCACTTGGACTGTTGAATCCAGTGCCTTTCCCTAAAATTATGTATTTTAAAAACTTTTATAAATGAAAAGATTGCCCATTTACACCATTAACTCAGTTACTGTACATAAAACACCACACAAAGACAGGCAATGTCTAATTTATCTTCAAGTACAAGTCCTCTCTCAGGCTCAAATACAAATCACAAGCTTAAGTCCCTCCATGACAGTGTTATTAATGGATATAGACAGCAGCCTAATCTTGGGCTTTTCCTGTTTATAATTTTCTTAGAGTCCTCARCTTATTTCATAGGCATTTAGTCTCCTTTTTGCTCACCTGTTTCAGTGTGCTGGACAGCATTCATTTCAGATATCCATGCTGGTGCTATTATCACTGGATACAGCAGGTTCTTTAACCTCATCTCAATACCTTATGAAAAAGTCAGACTCCTTCAGTTAAACATAGGTTATACACAAGCTAAATTAACTGTTTCTCGATGAAATGGTAGGTCTACTAGAAAGTCAATGATATGTTACATAAAATATGTTAGAGATAATAAACTGAAAGCTATTTTCTACCAATACTGGAATGCTCACAAGGGTCTTTTAGGTACTTTAACCTAGACTAGGTTCCAGTAACATGGCTTAGCTGTACATAATCCTTCAGATTATCATTATGAACCAAACAAAACTGAGGGGAATGTGTCCTGAATTAATTGTTCAGGCTAGTAGAATTACTAACATATATTAACTCTCTTCATCCCTCCATTTGCTTGCAGAAATATGTTTTGAGAGAAATCCAGTAAAATTGATTCCTGAGAATTTACTCAGCTCCCTGAAAATCTTTCAAAATGCACATTTCAGTTTCACTCAATTCACTTGAATACAAAGACATTTTATGGTGTGCCACTCCTCTCCGTGAAAAAACTTGTCTTTGCCTTTCCTCAACAAGCCACTAGCACAAAAGCTCAAAGGTCTGGATTACCATATTTCTGTTTGACTTAGCAAAGAATGAAGAAAAACATTTGCTGTGAGATTAACTCACTTAAACTTTTTCCCTTCACATGCCAGGCTGGGAGAAATTTAACACCAGTAGCATGACTGAAGTCTAAACTTTACCGTTCCCATGAAACACTACATGGAAGGTTTCCACCTACTGAAAATGAGCATTTGCCCTTCCTCTTACCCACTTCTGTGTTCCCTACAACAAGTTTGGCATCGGGGTGCTGGGATTTGAGGGCCACCAGTTCCTTGAGAGTTGTAGGCTGGATCCACATCACACGCTCGCCTTTGAAACACAGCTGCTTCTGCTGCTTGTTACTCTGAGTCTGCAAAAGAGAAATCAGATGGAGCTCAGACCCTTCATCAAGCCAAGAAAACCTGCATACTTCCAGTCCTTGCCTGCTCCAGGCCCGGCTCCTACAGGGTTACAGACAGGAGCCTGTGAGCACCCACACTGTGGCTGGCAGCCAGCCATCCCTCATTGTTTATTCGGCATTGACAAGACTCTCTTCTCACGCTGATAAAAAGCTTTTGCCTCCTGACACTCTCAGGTGCCTCCTACTGCCACATCTCCTTAGCAAGATCTCCTCTAGCAAGTTCCATCTGCCATGAGTTTTGGCAGGTGTTGTGGCTTCACCCATCCCAGAAGTAATGGATTTTCCAATCTGATCTCATTGAAACTACAGAAGTCTTTACCACTGCTGAAAATCAATTAGCAGCTGTAATGCTAGATTCTGTTCCCTAATTCCCTCTGCCCAATGATTGAAGACAAAAGACTAACGTGGCTGCCTCACAGCAATGGCAAGTCGACCTGTAGGCTGGAGAGCTTAGAAAAGCAGCAGAGGGGCCCTTTATTTTATGTTCTGTAAGACACCAGAAGAGCTGTAGCTCATGACACCTTTGGACTGGGGGCTAAACCAGGTACAAAAGCAGAAGTAACAACTGAGTTTTGATTGCTTGTTAAATGTGAAGGAAGTTACAAACTTGCTTTGTCCTAGACTAGACTCCTGGCTGGGACACTTTCGTACCATGCAGCAACTCTGCTGAGAGGGAAGGAGAATTASCCCCAAAAAGACAAGAACAGAACAGGGAGAGAATCTAATCTCATATAACTTTTGATGTCATTGATCAGGTTACCTCCTCCTCCTTTCACATAGAGTGGAGAGAGGCTAATCCTTCTAGAGAGCAGTTTATTTCAACTTATTCAACTACATCCCATAGTTTCTACTTTTCTCCCTGGATTCTAAAGGGAGCAAGGGGTGATTAGCTCAGATATGTTTGTGTTTATTGCAGAGGTTCACATCTGACCTAGTAAATTAAAATCCAGGTGTCAGCAATTATTCCATCCCCAGATAGGCAGGAGTCAAAAACGAAAGCAAACCGAGCACCGACATGTGGGGTGACAAACAGAGAGGGCAGGCAGCCAGCCGGGGGAGGCACTTGGCCTGCATGTCCTCTGTGCCACCACAGCTGGCAAGGGCCTTGTATAAAACATGCAGGCATTCATACTTATGTCTTCTTTTATCAGTATCCACCCTCTGCACTGCCATGTCCTCAGGAGAAACACAGTGGGGACCCTCAAAGCCAGCGTGGCATAATGAAGCCAATGAATCTTATACTGTTTCCTTTTAAATTAACTTGCCATTAATTCTGGTGGGAAAATGGGCTCCTGCGTAGGATCCAGAGGCTGGAACTCTGAAGGATTGAACAGACTGGAGGACATTGTTGCCTATGAAAAAAGAAAACACATGTATTTGGGAGGCAGAGAGGTAAGATTTTCACCAAAAAAAAAAAAAAACCACCACGAAGGTAAAAGGTAATTCCTCTTTTCTAGCCTTACTATCTTTTGGAGCAAAGAATGGCAAATAAAATCAACAGATATCACCTGGACAGCATTTCAGGTTTTCTGGTCAGATTTTTTCAGGGAAGAAGATGCAAGTCTACCTGAACACACACGTTTTTGCCAATCAAAAGCAGCACATTTTCACAGTGGTGTACTAAATGACAACAAAATTGACTCCTCTGAGATAAGATCATTATAAAAATTACTCCAAACTGCTTTGCATATATACATTTAAGTGCACAATTAGATTTTGGGAAAGAACAAGCAAGATTATCTCCAAAACAGATAAAATAGGGAAAAATAACAGGTCAGCAGAGCCTTACCACATTGTCTTCTTTTTCATTCATGCAGCAGCCTGGACCATTGGCTTTTCCTCCACAGCAGCCCCCATTCTAAAGAAGAAACAAGCACGTTTCAGCTACTCAGCACAAAGTCAGACAATTCCAACTTCTATACGATATCTTGCTCTCCTTTTAGCAAACTCTGAATGAACATTTCAAACTATTTTGATGAAAGCATTCTATATGACTTGAATTGCTGGAATATTCTACACGACATTGCATGCTTCCGCACAAAGGATTCACAATACTTCACTGGAATTTCCTAACAAAGAAAAGCTCCCTTCTGTTCTCTTTTTTAATTTCACTTTACATTCATACTGCCTTATACCCTAATTCTCTCTTTTCTTCTGTGTACATAAAACATGATTAAATTACTTCCAACTCATCACTGGCTGCAAAGTTTGGGAAAGAGCATACTRGAGTATTAAACAATTTTGAGATCCATTATCCTTATTTCACAGAAAAAGAATACTGGCTTCAATATCCCAGAAGCTGGTAACACGTTGCTTATAGMTGTCCTGCACAATTTCACAGAATTTCACCTCACAGTTTCAGTGCGTTATTATAAAAGCTGCATTACAACTACTAGGCATGCTAAACAGGATATATTTAATGGCAGCATGCTGTAAGACACAGATATTCAAAGCAACTCAGATGCCTCTGAATAACTTTGATACAGTAGAGGCTGAGACGAGTCAGATGTCACAACTGTATTAATATTATATTGAAAATTGAGATTATAGCTTTTCTATGCAGCTTACCGTGCTATTTGCCTTCCCACCGCGACAGCATCTAGTGCCACTGGCTCCTYTCCCACAGCAACCCCAGTCCTATGGGGACAGAGACAGTTTTCTGAGGAAAACGTGCATATTCCAAGGAAATGAAAAAAGAATTATTCTCTTTGTCAGAGAAGACTATTTCTGAAGCAGAAATGGGAAATGGAAGGTGCTAAGTAAATAGGTATTTCTCTTTGCCAAAGTAAGAGAGACTCTACAGCCTGTTGGATAGGAAATTCCCAGTTTATACATAAACCTTTTGTTTTGAATTAGAACTTAAAAATTACAGTGAGAAAATGAGTTGATCTTCCATTTATTAATGCATGAAGCATACATGCATATATACATACATACATGGAGCAAGAGTTGGAGCTGGGTTGTAGCATATTTATTTCCTTCCTCCCCTCTTCAGTTCCTGTTATACTTGAGTAACAGAGAAAGCCATTCTGCCTTCCAGACTTACTTTGGCAAACGTCCTGTATCCCTCCAGAATAGGTCTGTATCCTGTACATCGACACAAGTTCCCTGCATTGCAGAGCAAATGAAGAAATATTTAGTGTTATTTGGCTAAGAATATTTCCTCATTTAGGGCCTTCTATCATGTCTCACAATAACTAGTAAAAAGTAGATGAAGAAAATTAAAAATAAAAAGAAATTTTCATTAATATTTTTGCAACAATCCTACCATGCTTTTTTTGCAGTTTATCTAAAATAATTTCAATATTAAGTTTCAATAATCTGTCCTATTCATTTACCTCAATTGTGTGGTTCTAATCAGCATAACAACTATCCAGTGCCCTGAATTACAGACTGCTTCTGATTTCTTCTCAGGTCACTGCCAGAAGCCTATTGCTGTAACCTCAATATTAACAGCAGCCACTCAGCTGCTTTACACAGGTTCTGCCCCACTCCATCACATACTGCAGTCTCTGTCCTCTACCCGAGTTTGGCTAACCCAGACGCTCTGTCATCTCTGCAAGTTCTTGGAACCAGTTGCAAACTGCCCTCCACAGGCAGATGTGGAGGCTGTAAGTCCTCCCCAGGGAGTCATCCCTTTTTGATCTGCGTTAAGTCTAGTGGAGTCCTAACCCATGGYGGAGGACATTTGCTGCTGCTACACTGGAAACAATGAGCAAGTGCTTCATACCAGCTAGCTGCTCTGCTAGCGGGAAAGCTAGTTCTTAAACTCCTTACAACTGCCTATCTTTAACAAAATACCAACAAAACGTGTTCCTCCATCCCATTTGGAGGAGTAAATGTAATGAAAGGAGCACARGTTGCATCTCTGCAGGGTTGAGGGCATTACCTTGGAAGGCATCTTCTATCTCCTCCATTTTGGGCTCAGGTTTGTTTCGAAGCAACGTATACATGGACATGACAATACCTGGAGTGCAAAAGCCACATTGGGACCCATGACTTTTTGCTATTCTCTCCTGGGAAGAAAATTAACAAGCATCAGGCTCACAATATTAAGGTGAGTTCATAATTCTACCTGCTTGGGTTCCTGCAAAATCTCTGTTAGAATGACAATCTCACCAAAAGTTAAGATATTCTCTGATGAGACGGTCACTTAGTCTTTGAAGCTTTAAAGAGAAGATACTGAGCAACTTACATCTGGACTTCAAACTCCCAAAGTAACTGAAGATATGTAGAAGCCTCCAGTGAGACCAAGATTTCTCTAGACAAGGAGTTGCTAGACTAGAAGTTTGGAGCTATCTATRCTGTCTGTATAGATGTGAGTTTCAATTTCAAAGCTTAGCTGTTAGAGTCTTCAGAGGAGGTAGAAAAAAGACAACAAGCAAATAAAGGTCAAACTAGCTATGATCCATTCATGCATAACTAAGCTATTTTTCTCTCTGCTGTTTCCTTTCTCAGACAGAAATTGGCAGAAGTCTTGCCCTCTGCCCAAGCTGTGATTAACCAGTTTCCCTTAAAGGAGCAGTATCTCTGACAACACTGAAATAACACCTGAAAAAGCTTGCTATAATATCTTGTTGGAAAAACAAGTCTTCACATTTCTGTCACTCCTTCCCACCAMGAATGTCTGCGGCCTCTGCAGACACAGCTGAACAAAACCTTACTGTGCCACTGCAGGGAGGGACCCTAGGAATGCAGGAGGAGATACCAAGGTCATCCAGGCCATAGCCGTCAAAACTAACCCAGATTTCCTGACTCCCATTCATTATGAAGAGTTTCACAACATCAGTCTTTCTGGTTCCTGATACAGATCCTGGATCAAACACAGCTGGGGTGCCCAAAAACCCAGGCATTAGCAGTTCAGCTGGGACAGCATCAATTAGCTTGACTGGGCATAAGAGAAATGCTGTGCTGAAGTAGGGGTTTCATTTCATCACTGAGCTGTTCCTACAAGTACAGTCTGCTCATATGGAAAGTCAAGTTCTCAGCTTTAACATTATGATGGAGATTCCAATGTCTCAGAGCAGGCTTAGTTAACATAAAAAAGAAAGAATGGATCAAAAAAATGTATAATTACCAGCATTAACAACTTACCTGAGCTGGGTGCAACCTGGACTTGGTGTTTCCTATGCCTTCAACAGTAGTCACAGCTACATGATGCAGGGCACAGATGGGGAAGAGGCAAGCATTGGCARTATAGTGGCTAGAATAATGAATTAAGGTCATTCCACTTGATAGTGCTGCTCAACAAAAGGAAGAGAGAGTCCAAGAGAGCTGGAGGGTACTCGGACCCTAGCAGTGGGCACAGTTGAAAAACTTAAGTAGATTTGATGAACGCATTGCTCACAAGGCAAATCCTACAGCATCTACTCAGCCAAAATTCCCATCAACTTCACTTGAAGCTCAAACTGAGTATGAACTTCAGGATCAGGGTCACAGGATTTGACATAGAAATAATAGCTTTAACCCTCCTCGCTGCATACGCTACAGAACCCATATAAGCACTTTAAAAGGGCAGACAGCAAATACCAATATGACAGACAACTAGCCAGACCCACTCACAAAAAATGCTTGTGTAAGAGGAAGAAGCTCTTGGCCTTTTATCTGGGAAATCATCTGGATGGTACACATGGAGAAGTCATCCAAAGTGACAGTGAAATGGCATAATGTTGCCAATATTTTTATAGGAACTATTTCTTTTCTATCAAGACAGAAAACATGACCTTAAAATATCCTATTTGAGGCCATATTGTTAAGCAGAACAAACAAAAAGTTAGATAAACCCAAGTTAAAGGATCTCCAAGTGTTATTCCAAGTATATATCAAGATCTATTTTTCTATTCCCCATCAGGGAGAGAAAAAAAAAAAAACACACCAGTTTTATACTCCTGTCCCATATTTGGGTCATCATAGCAAAAAGTTATATTACATTTAAAGAAAGGAACATAAGGATTTTCTGGACTGGGAAAAAGCAGACAAGAAAGTGTGTTGAGGTCACTACAGGTATTTCAGGGCAAGATGAAATAGTCCCTATCAGCATTGTGCAATGCTGATAATCAGCATAGCTACGCAACGTAGAAAAAATACATTCATAAATTCATCCTGAATTTATGTTCTGAAAATGATAAATGATGGTTTTGGCATAAGTATACATTATATAACATTAAAAAAAAACCACACACACAGAACTGCATCTGGAATGTCAAGAACCTAGATCTGTCCCCATTTCATTTCAATCTCCGTAGAAGAGTTTGAATTGCAAAGGATACAGGATTTTCTTTCGAAAGGGATCATATTTGGATATCATAACAGTGCAAGCACCACATCCACCTTCTCCACAGCCTAGTTTGGTTCCACATAGGCCCACTGAGCAAACAGGAATTAAGGAAAACATGAAGAATGTTGGCAGAAGTCCATTCAGCAAACAGATGTGAGTCAGGGTTTAGCAACAAGTCTGGAAAGTGGAGCAATCAATTCTCTAAATGTTCTCATCAGAAATCAAGGACTTAAGTTCTTGCTTAATAAATTGATCTAAGCAAAGTGTCAAATGTTGGCATGGGAGCTATCAAATCCACACCCTGAAGTCTAATAATGAGGAAGCCCAGGACCTAATAGACACTTTAGAATAAGCTAACTTCAAGACTTCTCATTTTCTGAACTTGGACAAGGACATGAGGTAAAAGAGACAAAGCTTCCAATGACTTTCGGGCAGGGCTTGCTCAGCTATGCAGCCACAGTCCTGAGACACACRGTGACATCTGCTTCAGTTGCCTTCAAGAGGTGCTGCAGGTCGCTCCCTCCAGCAGTGTCATAGGAGCTACACTTGAACTGCTCACAAACTACCTGCCAGAGTCCACAGTCTGGCTGCTCCAGCTTATCTCTTGGCCCCATTTATGGTAATTCTCTSAGCAATGGCTCCTAAAGACAAGGTTCTGTAAAACCACAGGAGGCTTTTACTGAGATCAAGAATTAACAAAGAGCCACTGAATCACTGCACAAATCCCTGGGAATCCCAGAAGTTTGCACACTAGCCTAAGCAGATTCCTCCATAGGTTACAGAACAYTTCTCTGAATTTCTCAATCAGATAACACTTGAAATATTCTGCAAAGGGATGTCAAGAGACAACTCCTCTGGTCACTCTGCMTTAGGTGCCTTCTCTTATTAGAGGGTAATTAGACTGCTTGTTTTTAATGAAGTGAGCTGTTCAGTGCAGTGAGATATCTGCAACAGCTGCTTTCAGTGGCAGTGGACACTTGCCTGTGCATCYATGTGAAATTATCAATTTCAGTCTGTGAAGAAGCATCAATAGCCATGATAGAGATGACTAAATCATAGGCTCCATTACCGTCCTTCTGAACTGTATTGCTTYCATATGGCCATCTATCTACTACAGCTTGCTTGTAGCATCCAAGGTTTATCTTGACAATAAGGCCCAATAAAGCATGTTTCCCAACGTGCTTTGTCTGATCCTAGCCATCACAAATATTCCTGCAGAAGAATCAGATGGCTTTAAGAGTTTGTCTTCCTATGAAATCATTTTCATTCAGCATTACCAAGCTTAGATATCTAAGGCCAACTAGTAAGAAGTACATGAGAGCCTAAGTGGCATGTCTTTTTATTTCCCCTCTTGAACCTTGTGCACTCAAGTAGAGTCTGGCTTACAGAGACATACAGCTGCTGACAGTCCTCTTAGAAACCCCAAAGAGGAGCTATAATTTATATCCTTTTACTTTTCAGATCCCAGACAATAGCTGGAACACAGCAGCAAAGGTTAAACGAGTAGGCATGACCAAGGGATGCACTAACACAGATATGAGTAATCTCATGTGTAGCCCTTCAAAGCTGGTCAGACAAGGACTTGGAAAACATGGAATGATACCACCTACCCCAGCTCCTACAGCAAAGCTGGCTTATGTGTAATGCAGGAGTGGAATATTGATCCACTTGGACCCAGCATGTCCACAGTACATGGTGGAATCTCTTGACCGATTTTGCATGCTTGGATCACCCAATATTGCCTGTGATAAGTAGGGCATAAGACAATCTAAGTATTGGATAATATTCAGTAATATCCAAACTAGATGACTCAAGCTGCTCAAGTGGCTGCAATGTTTTGGCCATGAAGAAATTCTTCATAGCACATGAAGAATTTGGCCAATGTTTGGCCCATGTGCTTCCACACATAATCAAGCACTCGCATCAGCACTCAAGTGACATGCAGAACAGGAAACAGTTMGGAAATGCTGCAGGCATTTAAATCCTTCTGCAGTTTCTTCTGACATTGGATACGTTTTCTTCGTAGATAGGTCAGTAGGGTTGTTTCTGGGTCCACGTTTTGTTCCACCACCTGCGAGAAAGTAAAGCAGGTGTTACACATAGAAAGGTTCACAATACACAGGTCAGCTTGGAGGAGGAAGTTCAGATCTACCACTTTTACAAAGCAGTGAGCAGAAACACTGATTATGTCCCCTTACTAGATTCATAAACATTGGTCATRTGCGTCCAGATACAATTTTGCTTTGGAATTATTGTGACAGGGAAAAGTATGCACAGCATCCTTTAGGTCAGAACTTTTCAGCCATTGCAAAGTGATGCAAATCCTTAAAAGGCACTTCATCACATACACACTAAGAAGAACTAGCAGTGACTAGAGAGAGGAGGAATCATGTTCTGGACTTGAGTGGTCCTGATGAGTAAAAGACAAACATCAAGATATAAACAAAGACATAAATAACAAAAATTACAGACTTTGCAGAATAAGTAGCAGAAACCCTAAGATGACCAGTGTAGGTGCTGCAGGACAGAGAAACAAGTGGAAGACTGACTTAAATTTGTCTTTCTTCCCTGGGTAATGTTTTACTGGTCAATGTTGCATTAGTAGCTATTCTCAATCTGGACTATGAAATTCCAGCTGTGGTGAAATTCTCTGCATGGTTYGAGTCAGTCCCATTCCATTAATGGACAACACTATTAACAATCATCTATTACATATAAAATTGGATTTTACTTCAACCTTTACCCCATGGTCAGAAATCAAAGTTCTATCCGGTGGCTCTAGGTAGCTGCAGAGTTTGTTTTTTCTTCTTTTGCTGTTATTGATAGGGCGTCAAGAAACATTTCTAAATTTACCATGTGCGGAAATGTAATCATGTGTTCTTGGCTTTTACAATATATGAGTCCTAAGTACAGTAGTTACTGTTTATTTAAATTAATCTCTTCCAGTTTTGCAGGGCAAATYGAAACAGAGGTCACCTGTGCAAGCCTTCTTTGTTGTTAAGCCACCTTCACACCCTCTCTGCTTTCGGCTTCAGTTTTACACCTTTGACATGTGACCRGGCTGTTCTGAAGAGACAAGGTTCATACTTCCTATTTGAGTCCACATTTCTAAAACCACCCGATAAAGCAGCTGCAACAAAACATAGCCGTTTTCTGGACATTGAATTCCTGGAGTGGGGCAGTCTACAAGGCAACCAAATCCCTCTTAGCTTCCTATAAACCAAGCAGCTTTCATGCTGCTGCTCTCCATTCCCTTGCCTCCCAAGGACACAGAAATCAGTGAAAACCTTCTCCTAACCAGACCGTTCTAGACAAGTACAGAGTTTGCACTCTGCACGAGTTTGGTCAACAAACACCTTTGAATAGACAATTCCCAAAYCACCTATAACTCCTAGTCTCCCACAGGCAAAGGGAGGCCTCAGGCATTGCTGAGGCAAAGAGCCTTCCCCAGCAACTCGCACCTCTATCCATTTGAGATTCTTCCTCAGGACTGTGCCAATGGCCAGGGCAGACCATTTCAAAGAAGTACCCAAAATAGCCAGGCACAGAGAAAAAGTTTTCTGGACAAAGAATACTGAGATTGTTCTGTGCTATTATCAATGAAAATGTCCACGTTTTCCCAAAAGCATCCAAAAGCACTGTATTATGTACCCAAGCTGAGCAATGAAAAGTTTAACCACTGAATSGGTATTTTTCAGAAAATTGTAAGTAAATAAGACAAGATAGGCTTTAGCCTTCATTCAGCAAAGCACTTAAACAYTCATGTGCACACACTCTTAATGAAGTACTTGAGCATGTGCCAAGTCCCAAAGTYAGACTTCTGCTCAACATTCTCACCGAAGTGGCTTTCACTATGGAGCAGGACGTGTCACGAATAGTGCACACTACTACCCCGTGCAATCAGTGCCTGGCTTCCTACRTCCACCAAGTTACTCCATTTACCTAGAGATGTGTAATGCTGGGACTTGGGATCAAAGGGACATAAGGTTAAGAGTTTGGAGGACATTCTGGATTAAATAAGATCTCACTTAGGAGAGAGCAAGGAATCAAACTCCTGGTGGGGCAATGCTTGTTTTTGAGTTGTTCTTGTTGATCTCAGACTAAGAGCTTTTTAATACTCCCGTCTTTTGTCCCTTTTTGTCAACGGATGGTTTGTCCTCCAATAGATCATTCCCCGTTTGTTACACTCACCTACTGTGATTTGTTCTTAAAATATTTTCAAACTCCATGGGTGGGGATAACATCTTCTCTTGTTTGATGCCCAGAACAATATGATTCACAGCTCAGTATCTAACCCATCAAAACAATTCCCGCACACTTCCCCAGTGTGCATGTACAGATGAAAATTTAATTATACCCACTGGCTTCAGTAGGAGTAAGATCAGTGTACTTTGATATTACAGTTAAAGAAAAAATGCTTTTTGCAAAATCACTTAAACACAAAGGTCATATTGATGAATATATATTACTGATGGCTTTATTTCTTCAGCTTCAAAATTGTGGATTTTACTGCACGTGGTAGCTTTAATATTCATCTAATGCATGCAGAAACTATTGTAAATGTTATGAGGACACTGATGGTGAAATGACTCCAAAAACATGCTCTGTCCTGCTGTGTTTGGACTGTATGTGTATTTGTCTCCTCTTTCTGAGCCTCTGTAATGCCCAACAGGATTTCAGCCTAACCACACTGTTCTTCAAGCACATTAAAGGAAACAAGTTCCTAACTAGTGCTCTACACTTACCTGCAGGCTGATCCAGAAAGGTGTTGAGCTCACTTTTACATGATTTCAGAATCTGATTTAATTGGTTTGACTTGGTCTGACCACATAAAGAAGCACAAACTAAAAATATTTAGAGAGATCCAGGTTTTGTATCTTTTCTGTCTTTCATCAGTTCAAATGACTTTGCATTTGCCACATAAAACTTCACATCTTACTTATTAAAAGATTTTCATAAAGTTAAATAARGAATTTCCAATTTAAAATAAAAGTAGCTGAGCAAAGCCTGTAAAGAAAAAAAAAACAGACTCTTTCCTACTTTATTCTACGGGCGTTAGAAGTGATCTAATAAGGCTTCCAGCCAAGATTCCCTCTGAAAATTCAGYATAGATACAGAAACATTGACTGTAGACATCTGAATTCAAATTCAATGCTACATATTGATTAGACAGCCTTGCCGGCTGAGGAARGCAAAAATTGCCACTATTAGCTGCAGGTTGTATGCGTTGCTTTCTTGTCTGGCAGAGCTATCGAGATAACTGTGCCGCATGTGTGCCAAGTTTCATGTCCAGTGAAGTAAACAGGTGCTTAAAATAAACAATTCTGAATGTGAAGTATGCTCAGCTGTTTTGAAGAGACATTTTCTGGACAACATTACAGACCAGGCTAATGCAAGGGAATAGGAGTCATTGCCATGAATGTCCCTATCTTATCAGCCATCTCTTATCATGCATTTCAGTATCAGCAGCCCATTGGCAATGTCAAGCTGTCATAGACTTGTACAGCAGTAACCTTTCCCATTGACCGGGTACCACAACCCTACTAGCAAATTTACTGGAATCTTAAGTGGGGATTCCAGATGGATGAAGCCAGAGCCGCTCTACCTGCTGCATCAACAGCATTATCAGGCAKTTCCCACCACCTCTTCACCATTAAATCTTCCATGGGCAGAAATGTCCTCACAGACTCCACATTGGTTGCCACARATTGGATTGCCCTGTGAGTCCAGCAACTCTCTTGAACCTGCATTTGGTGGAGACATCATACTTTAGCCACACACACCAAAAGGGATTTTTTAAAAAAAAAAATGTCAGGGAGGCTTTGGGTGGCACACACTTCAGGAATCCCTTTCCTGCCTGGTCAGGTGGAGTCTGCTCCTTTGTCAGCATTGCTGGTTCTGGCAGGGAACGATGTTTATACAGCCCTGCCACACGGAATTGGCAGGTACTGCTGGTGGCATTAAGGGTTCCTGGTGGCTTTGTAACRATGAAGTGCCAAGAGGATATTGTGATAAGCCCTTTTCACATGCACAAAGCCAGCTCCAAGGAGAGGCTGTTGTAAACAAGGAACAAGGTTGTAACAAGGTTGTAAACAAGGTTCCACAAAAGTGCTGAAATGCAACACGAGAGAGGCCATTCCCAGCATGTGCTTTCACTCCAGGACACGGTAAGAACAGGGTAGATGGTCCCTGATGAGTATGGCATACTAAAAGTAAGGAGTCATCTGCTCCCAGCCTTTTTGGGTCAACATGGTGCTTTCAGCCTTCACTGCTCACCCCACAGCCCTAAAAGAAGGAACAGCCCCACAGAACAACTTCTGTGCAACTCAGTCTTCTGCTGTAGAACTAATATATAGATTCAGATGCTAGGCCAAGATTCACCACCAGGAATAAGGGCTTTCTACTGATTTACAGAGCAACATGCCTATAATACTTGGTCACCAAGTGATACCAAAGCACCAGTTGTAAACRTATTTAAGAAATTTAAGAAATTCTGCAATGAGAATATATTGGTTTTGAACCTAAGATAATCTGACACTGGMATTAGAACTCTCTTCCATTAGAGTATACCAGAAAGACAAAACAATATAGAATACTTGGCTTGTGGTGAGACCTGGACTGTCCAACATGTTTGTGGCACCCCCCAGCTGCAAGTCTCCAAAAACACCCAGTTTGCCCTCTCAAAATTAGAGTATACAGCGAGGGACCTACTAAAAATCCCACAGAAAGCAAGCAGAAGTTAAAGATATAACCTGTGCCCCCACCACAGCAGGAAATACATCACGTGAAATGCACACATCACCTTGTGCCACTGCCTCACCATCTCAATGATCAGACCTGATTAGCTAGGTATGATTAACCTGGACCTTCAGGTTTTCACCTCTCTCTAGAAACCTTGAACAGCCAAKCTATGAGTTAATGTTGACATGCAAACCATTAATCATTCCTGTAAGCAAAGCTTCAGGACTTGTCCTTTAGGAAAGCTCAGAACCAGGGCYGGCTTCTGTGTGAGCACTGCACTCCTGCTCCCTTGGAATGACTTTAACCTGTATTCTCCAGTTAACTACCAAGACTTAAAACAAAGCTTTGACATCAAATGCTCTAGCACCTTGGAAAGCTCAGATTCCAACCCAATTTGAGATGCAAATTTGTACCTGAAACATCTTGTCTATTTAAGACAAAAAAAATCCTATCCACATTTATACATGATTAAACTTAGCACCAAACACTCACAAGAGCAAAAATGGCARGAATGCTATACCAAGCTGCAGGGCAATGTACAGAACTTTTGAACCAAATAAGAGCTTTCTGTGATTCCTCAGGGGACCGAAGTGCTAATTCTGTAGTGCAAACAACTCCGCACATGATTTGTCCTTGAGCAGTGCACAGCAAGCTCTGCACACCCGTGGCTCCACAGCACACAGCAAATTTGCAATTCTCCCACCTTCCAAATATCCCAGCTGGCAGCTACTATGGCACAAATTTCCCTGTTCTGGTATTTAGAGAAGGGGAGAGAGGCAAGGCAAGATTTACATTGAGCTGAGTGCAGAAACAGAACCAGCCTGTAGTTTGAAAAAGAAGCAACCTTGACTTATTGCAAGTTGTTGCAGAACAGAGGCCGAAAGGCTGCTCAGTTCCAAAAAAGAGAGGCATCCTTGACTTGTTACAAGTTGCTGCAGCTGAGAAGCTGGAAGGCGAGTTAGGGAAACCAGAGCAGAGAAAAGGCATTCTGAGAGAAACCGTGCAAAGAGGTCCAGCCGGTGCAAGAATCGCCCCCTCTCCTGACACACAGTCACTTATTACACAGAAGTGACTCCTTGTGCACAGGCGTGGGACTTTAGCCCCAACTGTCACCAGTTGATCCATGCGCTGTTTTCATTTTTACTCTATGCAAAGCTATCTGTTGTCAGGTTTTGATTTGTGCAAACAGAATGAATGTTTTACCTGAATACTTTTTAAAATCAAAAGTCAGAATTATTTACTCAATGTACAGTTGCTTACCTTGGAGTTACATTTTTTAGGTCTGCTCTAATTATTTCAAGTACTTCTAGCAGAAATGTCTGCATTAGATCAGTGCACCTTTATTTAAAAAAGTTACCTCAGAATTGTAGTGAATTACTACAAACAAAAGACAAACATCAAGTTATATAGTCGTGTTACTTTCTGAATATTTCACAAATACTCCAAGAAGGGGAAAAAAATCTCATAGTAAAACAATAACTAGTTTTCATGATCTAATATTTCCAAGTCAYGGCAAGTGTGCTGATACTAGAAAACTTCAAAGGAAGAAAAGATGACTAAAGAAAATAATCAATGCACAACTTGGAAGAAGCAGAAGAGAAAGCTGGAAGCTTCCTTACCTTTTTACCGTTGACGAAGAAGACAAGCTCATCCCCTGCCCTTTCGGGAGCCATCCCRCACACTTCCCAAAATTCGCTCAAGCAGGGTCACACAGCCCTGGAAGGCGAGCGCCGGCGACGCGAGGACAAGTAACACGAGCCCGCCTTAAYGCTGGACTTTATTTCCACATCGGCACCCTGTGAAACCCCATATTATATAAGAGCCACCACAGAGGCGTGCCAGCTGCCTTTGGTTGGTGCTCCTGCCGGCAGCAGCCGTGACAGGGAAGGAGTGGGACCCGGCAAAGTGGCCCGCCTCCTTTTATATAGCGCTGGATCAACGTGAATCACCGTGGAGTGGCGTTCCCTCCCGCGGGGCGCTCCCAACGGGCCCTGCCGGCTGCCGGGGCACGCGGCGCAAGGCCAGCGCCAGCGAGGGAGCCCTTCGCCCAGCGCCCCAGCCCCGGGCTCTCCCCTCTCCCTTCTYCTCTGCCATCCACCCTCTGCACAGCCCTTTCTCCTGGGGGCACCTCCTCATTTAAAGGATTGCATGCCCGTTTGCCCATTTCTCCATAGAGTTTTAAAGCTACAAAGCTTTCCACGTGGGAGGAGATAAATATATATATGTGTATTCGTCCAGATACCAGCACTTCCAAAGAAGTGACACTGATCCAGTGCCTCAGAAGAGGTGCTGCACTTAGACTATGTTTCCACCAGGCTTTTAAAGCCTTTGGGCTTACCTTTTTTGGCTGAATCCTCACATCCTCAATCTTACATGCCAGCGAAACATGGAGGAAAAAAACATTATTTGAAGAATTTGTCTTCTTTCCTTGTTGGTGGTTCCTTCTGGTTGCTCCATTATGCAATCGTACATCTCGCACTGTTTAAATCTTCCTGGCTTGTAGTCCAGAGCCGTTGCAGAATTGTCCACAGACTGTATTCCTGACATGCACCATTTTCATGAGACATCCAAGCCCTTAGTTCCTGGTTAAAATTCCTCCACAAATTTCCACGATTCCAAAGTGTCACGGAAGTTCCCTAGGGCTGTAGCTAATCCTGCCAGCTCCATTTTGATTTTTGAGATGTTGACTGCCTTCTCCAGCATATCAGGCTTCCTAGTTTTGATTAGTTTTAGGCTTTCCTTGAAATATGCCTGGAAAGGCACTACATCTAACTCCTTCTCCTACTAACATCTCCAACCAACTCACAAAGCAACAAAACCTAATTAAATTACCATTTCCAGGAGCAGACTTTCCTTCAGCAGTGTCAATCTGTCACTACGAACACAATATGTAAATTATCTTTAACCAGCTTGTATCTTCAGGATCTGTATCATAATGAACTATTTTATAAGAAACTGTCAGTCATTATCTCAGCACTGATTTATGGACACTCAGTTTTCTGGAAAGATAGCCCAAAGCAAACTTGTGCCTAAGCCCATTTCCAGGAACTGCAGGTAAGATCTGCTCCAGCAGGTTTTTTTAAACTAACCATAAGCACAGGCTGTCTTGGTCTACATTTGCAGTCAGGTTTGCATAGCTGGACCAGTGCTGACACCTATTGTCTGGCACCTCCCACTTCATTGCACAAGAACACTAGAGAGGAATAAAAAAAAAGAAGAGATTTTTCTCCAGGAAATATTCCACTCAGTTGCTTTATATCTGTGTGCAAATCTACACGTTCACTACCCTCACGTACCAAGCATCAGTCTCAGAATCAGTATACACAAGCTTAATACTTGTAAATAGTTTTGCAACATTTTAATTAACAATTATTAGTCATAACCACAGGTAACGTTACAGCAATCTTTAAACTAACTAGCCATTATTGTATTAACATCAAAACCAGACGTGCTTTGTTTCCTAATCCATATTTTTCAAAATACAAGATGCTCTTCGTAGGTTTAAAGAACACTTGTAATCATATATAATATCTTGTTTAAGTAATTGCTCTATTTCTAAACTGACAACCAATATCTTATGATGGTCAACCAATATCGTACGATGGTCCCCAGTGAGGTTTGCTTTCAACCACCAATCTGCTATATGCATAATATAAATATGGAGAGAAATATATGTTTGATAGTGATCTATTTACAAGATAGAGATCATAGTGTAATATAAAACTTAAGACCTCTTATCAAGTGCCATTAATCACACAAGAACAAACTAATTCATTTTTCACTGCCCTGATGGGATAGTCTAGTGCTATTATATCCATTTTACAGGCAGAGAAATGGGACACTCGAACAACCCCAAACTTTCTAAATCCTCTAGATAACAGCACAAGTCTTGTGTGCTGCAGGGTTGAAATCTCTTATTTTCCAAAAACTCACTCCCGGTAGTACAGTTCCCAGAAATAACACTGCAAAAAGGTGAGGGGAGAGAGGGAAAAGSAAAGAAAAATCATTCCTCAAGTACAAATCAGTTAAAGCCAAGGTGTTCTGAACTTACCAGACAGTGAAAGTCTAACACGCTTCAGATTTTAGAAGTTGTCCCTTTGACCATCCACGATGCAGATGCAGAGATYGGTTTATTCTAGAAGTTCAAATTTCCCTGCAGTCCCACTCACTCAAGGACCTCAGAAAGCAGTTAATGCATTAGTCAGTAAGAAAAACAATGTTGGCTTTTCTTATTCTGACTGGTTAATCCTGCAGATCTGGCTGTTGCAATCATAATGATAATCTGTTCTGCAGATGATTGCTCTGATTAGATGCGTAGCTCAATAAATACACCAAAATTTACAGAAACACTGTTCCTCCCCTAAAGAGTTCACCACCTGAATTAGGYAAATGTATTGAAGTGCAACAACGAGCAGAGGCAGGAGGTAACGAAGGGAAACGATTAAAACAAATAAAAGTGGGATGATCTCACATTCCTCTTATGGAAGATAGGAGGAGGAAGAAGTATAGGCAGCTTGAAAGTGGAGTCTGAGGGGAGGAGATTCAAGAAATGCAGTTTGTAGAAGATTATAAAGAAAAGGGCAAAGTCCCAAGCAGTGCTTTAACAAAATACCCCAGGTATCTGTATCCAGCTTCCAGTGTTTTCACATTAGCTCACTGTGCCTCCTCACCCTTTCTAGTAGCTCGTCTACCTCCAGAAGTTTGGTASTTATCCACTGCTGCTAAAATATGGGACTAGCCTCTTGAACTAGAAGAGGTCAGTTGCATAATATCTGCATAATGTCTCTCTTCTGTTGGTGTAGATATCCTTTCTGTGAGCGTGACTGCACTGGCAGTCATTTTTCAGCAATCTTAGGAGGTCATAAATCCCATCTCCTGGTCAACGCAGGGTCAGCTAAGGAAGCAGACCGGGCTACACAGGGCTTTATCTACTGCATCATCTTAATGAGGACTTCTTTTCAGAGCATAAACTACCAGTGGTCCTGTTATTTGATCATGAATGTTCTTTGTTCAAGTTAAAAAAAAGTATCATTTATGGACTGTGAAGGCAGAGAATGTTGTCTGAGGAAGTCTGCTCTTTCCCCTGGCATCTCCACTGCTGGAAACAGTTGGCAACTGTCGGACATAGACTCCTGAATTAGATGGATCTTTGATCTGATTCAACAGTTCTATTCTCATATTATTAGTAAAGTCACCCAAAACATGTCAAAGTGTAACCTCTTCAGGGCCATAATACAGGCAACAAGGCTAATTTTCCTTGGGGACAGCAACAAATCCATAAAACCACTCTAGTAGTATGAAAGTAAATGCATTACTTACATTTTAAATGGTATTTCCCAGGGCAAAAAGTTCATATACTTCATGTGCTCTGCAATGAGGTGTCAAAACTCCTTTATGGTTACAAATTTGAATTTGTAAAAAAAAGATCATAGTCACAAAACAAACCAACTGGAGAACGGCACTAAGGATTGTGAGTGGACATTAGCTCATTATTAATGAATCAGTAATAGTTCTGTGCCCAGGTTGTAATTGTATAGATATTAACCTTTCATGATTTACAATCTCTGCACCTGCATTTGAATATGGGTGGAGTTTAATTACAGCTCTGTTTCTACTCCCAGCATATTACTTCCTCTGACAGGAGTAAAAAAAGGCTGAATTAGCTAAGTTCTCCTCTTGTTGAGAAGTATTGGTTGTCACTAGTCTTTAGAATGGTTAGCAGCAGAAGAAACATTTTTTGTTTTAATTGACTTCCAGTTTTCTTCTTTCATAACCTAGTTCGAGCACATCAGATGAAAGATATTTCCAATACCTAGCCTGAAAAACATCTTTTTACTCAAGCACTCTTTCATCTGTGCTCCATGCCCTCATTAGTAGGCCCTTCACCACCACTATCAGTTGTTTGGTACTTACTTCCAGGTTATCCCAAAGGAGAAGTTTCAGACAAAAAAAAAAAGTCTAACTCAGTGAAGCCAGATATTTTAACCTGCCTTCATTGTCTTTCTTCATCTGCCCATATCCTGAGAGTATCTTTTATCTTTATTCTATATAACCCTGCCCCAAGGTGAACCAAAGAAGAATATAGTCACAGCCCAACAAAACAAGTGAAAATGAGAACTAGTTTCTATGGCTAGTTTTCATAATACCTGGTTCCTTTCCACTAGTTTTCTTTCTCACATGAAAGTCTCCACACAGACATCTTTAAGGCTTACATGTTTTTAAAGCCTTTTCTCTCTGTCCACAGTGTACTTTCAGGTAGAGATCAGCTGCACATTTATTTTAGAATGTAATATTTTGGTACACAAGTTGCTCAAAGGCCAAAAATCCTCCACAGCAGCTTCTGCTGACAAACCAGGCTTCTGAAATCAAACTTATATCCCCTTTAGATTCATTATAAACCATATSCATTTAACTGCTCTATTGAGGATAGATTGACATGCCAAAAAACCTGCATGCATTAACCAACTAAGTCTGCCTAAATAAGAGATTTCCTCTCTTCACAAACCTGCCTGATCAGACTTGAACATCCTAGTGCAAGTTACTCATGATTTCCTTCTAGCTCCAACTAGCCATTTTGGTCATTAAGATGACTGAAAGCTGCCAGAAGTAGACAGATCTAGAACAGGTAAAGCTGGCAAGACAGTCCCTTAAGAGAATTTTAGAAGATGTTTGATTTCGGTATAACACAGGAGGACAGACATGCTCACCACTGAACAGGTTAGTTTTCCAAAGTGACAGCCACCATCGTCATCTGCAATCCCCCAAGCTGTCTTGACTACTCTTCAAGAAAAAACTTTTACTAAATTTTCTACTGAATAACAACAACAGACAAAAAACAGTYAGAAAAGAAAAGTCCTATTGAAAATTCATGAATTGTATTGGCTCAAAAAACAAACATCATAAACTGAGCATGAAACAGAGTGTGAAATAGAAAGGCCATAAACATGATAGCTGTGAAGTTCAAAAACATCCTCCAAACCAAAGCAATGAAAGAATTAAACTGTGTAATGAATCAAAGATTACCTGCACTCATAATGAACTTTGACCAGTTTACAAAGTGCATAATAAAATGTCACGCCTACATTACAAAAGTTGAAAATCTAATCACTGATTAAAGTCCCACGTTTCCATTCCAATCTTAACTCATGTCCAAAATCCTTACTTTCTTTTCGCATCTTCCTGGTATCCTGCAGTCTCATTTAAAAATAAGAAAACTCCTTTGCATTCCCAAAATTCCTTTATTAAAATTGTAATAGGGAAGAGAGCTGACTGTATTAAAAAAGAAGGATGCGTATCTAGCCTATGAGTTCCAAGGCTCTCATAAAATAAATCCTTAATTTCACTCATTTCTAACATAAGAAAAAGCATCCCTTTTTAAGATTTCCTGCTTTCTGTGATAAATTTTATGCAYAATTTTATATATATATACACATAYAAGGCATTGAGCAGAAGACTCTCCTAATCTTTTAGCATTAGTCAGGGCACATTTTCACCCATTTTTGAGAATTCATTTGGAAGCCAGATTGATGCATTTCCTCCAYGACTTAAGGGTCTTGTGAGCGTTTAATGTACAGACCCAAATATTTCTAATCATTTACTGTGATGGCCCCTAGTACCATCTGATTACAAATCAAACGAACAGTTTYCACTTCCCATTTCTGTATTGGAGAGGTTTCCATCTTTACAAAGAATGGAGYGCTCCCCACTCTTTTTTGGCATCTTCCTTTGTTTTAAATCTGAATACAAAAATAAAGCCTTCATGGGCTGGGGGAGCACTACTCTGAATGATAACTTCAAGCAGAGAAAATGTGGTTCTGAGAGATTTACTAGGACCAAACAAATATAAGGCTGCTGCAATGAAGTGTCCAACATGGCTAATGCAGTCACCTAAGTATAGATGTCCTTGTAGCTGATGTATCTTATGTAAACATGATTGCATTTGGTTAAGATGGGCTCTAACCAAATACAACTTAGAAAATGTCCAAGTAGTGTGTCCATGGATCCTTTCTTTAAAAAATAAAGAAAACACACACCCCACAACATTTAGGTGGGTTTAGGACTAGGTGGGCTATCATCAGCCCCTTTTGCTATGACAGTGAAGGAAGTTAGCCAAGAAAGAGGTCCAGATTTACAAGCCTACTTGCCACCTCCAAGCACAGTCAGACTCGGCTCCATCATTTCCACTTCGGACCAAGCAGCTAAAGGTGAGAAGAACCACAGTCCAGCAGAACACACAATGTCAACAAGCCATAGGCATTTAGATACAGGATGATTATTTTAGAATCAGACAAAAAGGCGGGAGGGCARGCAAAATATAGACAGGCTTTCTCTATAATATATTATCAGTTACATTTTATTCCTCAAAGGACAGGACATATTTGCCCTCCTCCAATGAAAAAAGCAGGCCGTAATCAAATTGGTTTCAACCCCTAGTTTGCCCACCTGCTGTAGTGGATTCACTCATGAAAGTGTGGAGACTGTTCAATACATCACGTGTACTAAAGGGACATTTTCAGTCATCTTTCATCTTAGATGTTTAAAACTACTATTTAGAATATTTAAGATTTATTAAAATGTCTTTTGAATGAAAATTCTTGGAAAAATAGCCTTTTCACACACAGTACTTTATCTGCACAGAAACAAGTAGTTTGTTTTCTCAGAGAAGAAATGATTGCAGTACAGAAAAGTTAAATGACTTGGCCAAACAGCAAGACTAAACAGTGATGACACTGAGGGTGAAGTTTTCAAAGTTACTCAATGCTGAATTCTTTTCCCACTACACTCAGCAAGAGAAAAGTTAAACAAACACTGAGCACGTGTGAAAAAATCGACCTAGTGGAAGACCACCTGAACTTATACGCCACCGACTGAAACATAACATGTATGTATCTTGACTTTGTTTACAGTTCACAGCATTGAAGCCTTCGCTAAAGGATGCCAAGTCAACACCAAGATCAATTCAAATCAGAGCAAACACAGTAGACTGTTTCCCACGCTGACCTGCAAGGCACAAAAGTAACAAACATGACAGAATGTAAATACAGGGAACTTTCCTAGAAGAGTTTTGAGGGTTTTTTTTCTGGAATAGAAAAAAAAAGTACTTTAGAATAACTAGATTTCCAAGAGCAGAAGAGTTCAAATCATCATCTTATCAGAGTTGCTAGATGTCCTATTACTATGTCTTATACAGATAAAGATTTGCAGTTAGTAAAGCCACTCAGA